ATCCGTTGCTAAAAACGTAACCTAACTTTTAACCGTAAACTTATTTTACTTGATACTTTCACAAGTGGTATTATTAAAGAAATGATTATAAACATTTGCAATTAATATAGTTTGAAAGAATTTTATAATTTATCTATTTTATAACTATTAAATGTTCAAATTATTTCTCTGAAATTCTGTTTGATCTTTGTGACTCATCTAACGGATCTTGTAATCTAGGAGCAATCACTCAGGCTGAAATTGTATCGCGCAAAAATAAATATTTTCCGAACGGCGACGAAGCATTTACTAGCTTATTAAATATGTAATTTTAGTGTTATTTTGTAAACAAGTGAAATCCGAGCGGAGTAAAAACAAGCTGGAAAAGTGAGCGCTCTGCGTCACGTTTGCACTCTTCATCCTCTTCGGTCTCTAGCAGACCGACTATATGTGTGTGTGTGTGTGTGTGTTTGTGTAATGTATATACGCACACACTTTAACAATTATTTTCCGCATTACGTAATGTTTGCGCATCATTATCCAAAGAGGAGCAAGCACATCGTTGTTTGCACTCTCGCGTGCGAATTAAAACGGGGAGGATAATTACATTCACGATTCACTGGAACCAAACCAAGTTAATACAACAGATTGAGTTGAAACTGTTTGTTTCAAAGTGGACAAAAAAAAAATGGACCGTGAAACGATCATTATTGTTTTGTGTTTTGTTGGTCGAGGCTATTTCCATGTTGTTGCTTTATACTCTCTTTTCAAAATATGTAATTGCATATTTTATATCTCAAATAATTTATATTACTTCTAGATCACCTACTCGAGTACTTTCCACAGCATACTTTGCTTAACTTGAGAAACGTCAAGTGTATATCTAATTACATCATTTGAGACCAATTACTTTAACAGTTATTTTTTAGGTTGCTATGAATAATAAATCCTTGAACGATTTCTATTAATACTTATAACATTAAAAACGTATATAATTCTATAACCTAACCTAATATTTTCTATAAGGTTTTGGTCAAGTGAATATTTATGTTCGTCATTTGTGACTAATTATTTTAACAGTTATTTTTTTTGGTTGCTATGAATAAATGCTTGAACTATTTCTATTAATACATATAACAGAAATAAGTATAAAATTCTATAACCTAACCTAAAATTTACTTTAAGGGTTAGGTTAGGTTTATTCTGGATTTACTAGTATACTACAGTTGTAGAACATATGATTAGTATACTATTATATTTATCCTGTTTTTGGAAAGATCACCTATTCGAGTACTATCCAAATCATACTTTGCTTAACTGTATAAACGTCATTTGAGACTAATAACTTTAACAGTTATTTTTTTGGTTGCTATGAATAATAAATCCTTGAACTATTTCTATTAACACTTATAACATTATATAAGTATATAATTCTATAACCTAACCTAAATTTTTTTGTAAGGGTTAGGTTAGGTTTATTCTGGATTTACTAATATACTACAGTTGTACAACATATGATTAGTATACTATTATATTTATCCTGTTTTTGGAAAGATTACCTATTCGAGTACTATCCAAATCATACTTTGCTTAACTTGAGAAACGTCAAGTATATATCTAATTACGTCATTTGACACCAATTACTTTAACAGTTATTTTTTTGGTTGCTATGAATAATAAATGCTTGAACTATTTCTATTAATACATATAACAGAAATAAGTATATAATTCTATAACCTAACCTAAAATTTACTTTAAGGTTTAGGTTAGGTTTATTTTGGATTTACTAATATACTACAGTTGTTACTTTTGGTAAAAAACTCATATAAATTTATACATTAACTAATAGAACATATGAATATACTATTACATTCACCCTGATTTTGGAAAGATCACCTATTCGAGTACTATCCAAATTATACTTTGCTTAACTTGAGAAACGTCAAGTGTATATTTATATTCGTCATTTGCGACCAATTATTTTACCAGTTAAATTTGAGTTGCTAAGAATGATAAATCCTTGAACTATTTCTATTAATACTTATAACATTAAATCAGTATATAATTCTATAACCTAACCTACAATTTTCTATAAGGTTTAGGTTAGGTTTATTCTTGATTTACTAATATACTATAGTTGTAGAACATATGATTAGTATACTATTACATTTATCCTGATTTTGGAAAGGATACTACTACTATCCAAATCATACTTTGCTTAACTTGAGAAACATCAAGTTTATATTATATTATATTCGTCATTTTAACAGTTATGTTTTTTTGCTTGTTATGAATAATAATAAATCTTTGAACTATTTGCACTAACACTTATAACACCTAAACGTCTTTTATAAATTAAAAATCTCACATTTTTTCTTTAATTTTATCGCGGTTTCCGCTCCCAAAAATAGCTGCATGCATTTTTTTAATTAAATAAATTCAAGTATGCATAAGCATGAGCGAATGCACTTCTATAGAGGCTTCTTGTTAACATTCGCAAATTGCTGTAAAACAGAGTAAGTACGCATGCAGGTGTTAATGTGTAAACGTTGTCGCCTTACGGTACACACCAATTAGTATATAATTCTGTTAGGAATATCGAAATTTTTTAGTCAACAAATCGTTAAAATTGTATTGCGCACAGGCAATCTTATCAATTATTATTTGAATTGTCCACTGTACGTGGTTTATAACAATAAAAATGGGAAGACAAATACTGCTGCAAACGTTCAAATAGTAGAAGCATGAATCTAATTACGAATGTGCTACACACACACCAAATATTAGCTTTATGAACAAAGTCAAAATGATTCAAATTTTCAACGTAAATTGTAACAATGACATAAGATATTTTTATTCAATTTTATAAGTTTTTTTATGTTATTGATCAATTTTTATTACTTTTGATATATTCAGCTTTGATCCATGTAAGAAATTCAACAAGTTAAACTTATGGACAAAAAGCTAACATTTTTAGTTTACCAAAAAAACTTGAATCAAGAATCTAAAATGTATACATTTGGTATTCAGTATTATTGTGATAAGTTTAGAATTATTTAGTTTTAAGTTCACCTGAAAGTGACACCATGATAAGTGTTATATAATTATATATTTTTACAAAATTTTATTTCTAAATTATTTGAACTAGGCATATTTTAATGGTTCTAATGATTTTTATTTGGTCTGAGTTTCAAATTTACCATCTTCTGATCGCATTTTGTGGTACAAACGATTATAGATTAAATACATAATGGTATATGCTAATATGCTAAATACTTTGAGTTAGTTGAGAGCTGTCTGATCCTTTCCTTTTGTAGCATTATTAAAAAGGGCTCTAGTGGATGACTTGGGTGTCGGTACTTTGAAGGGTGCATTGTTCTTGGTGGATATTGCAGACATAGACAGTATGAGCTGCGAGCAAAAGGCTGGAAAGCGTGGAAAATCGATCGGAATGTTAAATGGAAACGCTCCTCGTGAATCTTATAATATATTTACATTGCATTCGAGAGTTTACGAGTTTGGCTAAGCCCCCAAAGTTTTGGTATGGAGTGTATATCCATTAGTGCGGGTCCACTCCATCCGGCCTAGGCCATTCGAACTCGAATCGATGCCTGATGGCGCTGAATGCGTATTGAAATACACGAGACAGATTTATGATCTTGCAGGCCGAAAATAAACTCCGGACACTGCAACAACAGACAAGACAAAATAAAGAAAAAAAAAGGAACGAGGAGAAAGAACGTGCATTGCAAATAATAAGAAATATGCGAGATCCGTCGTCATTGAGAAAACATTCCGTTCGATCCACCCATATTAAGACCATGTGTATAGTAGTACAGTGCATGGGTTAATTCGTATGCGAGGTTTTACGTAACTGTACATATGAACGATTTGAATTGAAATTTGATAAATTTGGAATCTTGAAATTTTGTGCAAACAAAAACATACGAAGACAATGCGCTTTATCACCACTTGACACGATGATAAGGATAATGATTGGGAGTTGATTGGTATCCACACAGTAAGCTAGTGGTCGCAGGAGAAAGTGAGACGTGATATAAAACGCACTTCTTGTCGTGGTCTCCTGTGTATGTGTGTTTTTTTTTCTCTTCAACTTCATATAAATAAATTGGTTTTAAACGGGCAATACTTTAAAAGGTCAGTTACTCGAGACATGCGTTGGGTGTAGTAAAGCCATAACCAGCGCGAAACGTTCTTTTTCCTCTCTCGCCCGACCGATACCACCAATTCGTGCGGACGATTGATAAATTTTGAAGCTCGAACGTAACAAGACAACAAGAGATTGTGCTGCATGTTTTGCGCCGTAAAGTGACATTAAAAAAATATATAGGTTCGTGTGCAAATAAGATTGTTTGTTGTTGAAGCCAGAAGCAAGATGTTGAGCTATCACGTGTGCCACACTATACCGTTCAGAAGTAAGATCAAGATGTATAGGTAAGAGAATCTCAGCTCATCCAGGAAACGCGTATTGTTCATTTAATGCTTGTGCATTTTTTTTTGTCGTTGTGTGGGAAAAGCTCGATTTCGACGAAGGATTAAACAGTTTTCCTTCTTTTTCCTGCACACATGTAAATACACTCGGATTCAGACAACAAACAAGTTTGAGCCAAACGCGCGGAATGCAATGATATTAAGTTTACTTTCCTTTTCATTCGCGCGCGCACAAAAACACACATGGCTCTCTCTAATTCCATTACCGAACAGGTATATAATTGTATAAAAACAAAGCTGACTTTTCTTTTTCCTTGGAAATTTGTCCCGCGGTGCTCGAATACTATTATGAAACTTCCCTACTAAAATATATAAAGACACTCCGCATGACCTTGACTACAGAGAGAAAAAGTATGTTCTGAACGTTCACCAGGAGTGTAAGCAATTTCTTATACATGTTGATACGTTCGTATATTATCTAACTCTCCTCTCGTCGATTCTATCTTTGTTGTTTTGTGTTAGATCCTCTTCTTCGCTTATATTTACTTGTCCCTCTTGTCTTGTTGCAGCAACGGAGTGAACGTCGAGGGGTCAACTCACAAACAGGTCGTGGATCTAATAAAATCCGGCGGCGATGTCCTCACGCTGACTGTTATTTCCGTAACGCAACAGGTAAATGCCCAACGTACGTCGTTTCTCCTCTCCCCCTTCGGGATCGAAACGCCCCCGGTTTTGCTAATTAGTTGTCGGTTTCCGCGAACGCAAATTGACCTTCGTGTCGGGAATCCTGCTTCAGGGATTTTCGCTCAATCTGGCCAGGATTTTAGGGTTGGTCCAGCTATTCGACAAGGGATTAAAGCTTTGTAATTAAAAAAAAAGCTCTGTAATTGCCGTTTCTGATTAGATTAAACTACAAGTTATTTGCAAAGTAGTTTCGAATAGCTCAATTTAACATTCATGAATTAATGCGTTGTGGTCTACTTAGCTCCCGGGGTATTTGCGGAAACCAATATTACTCGTTAAATAACGTATAAACACATATATATGTTTTTACAATGTAAATTTGTTAGGTTTGCAAAATGATGATGAAAGTTGTCATTTTATAGTTTGAATTTGAATCAATTGATAAACAGTTTTAATTCTTTGCTGAATCGTAACGAAATCGACCCATTTTTGATGCGGATGGTGACTGGCGATGAAAAAAGGTCACATTGGAAGGGAATCCTTCAGGCTAATCACTCAACAACTGACCAGATTGAAGCAGACGATCGACGAGAAACGTTCAGCAGTGTTCCATCAAGACATCGCCAGGCCGTACTCATCTTTAAAGACGCGCCAGAGCTGGCACCAAGCGATTATCACCTTTTTAAGCATATGCAAAATTTTCTTGATGGGAAAAAATGGCCTCAAGCCTCTCTTGTGAAAATGAGCTAGTCAAGTTATTTTACCAATAGGGACAATTTCATAATAAGACGATTGAAGAAGTCCTCGCTTCAATCGTCTTATTATGAAATTGCCTTCAAAATGGACAAAAGTTATCAAACAAAACGGCGCATATTTGATCTAAATCCGAAAATTCTAACTTTGTTCATTTCTTCGTCGAAATAAAGAGAAAAAAACAGCCAAAACTTTTTACTTCACCCAATATTAAGAAATTGTGATTCATTGAAAAAGAAATATTATTGTAAAATATTATTAATCTTTCACATTTTTTGGTTTATAATATTTACCTTGATAAATTCATTTTTACATTGATTTAGTAGACCAAGTAATTGAATTTTGGTTCTTGGTAAAATTTCCTAATAAAATTAGGAATTATTGAAACACTTAAACTTCTGTAACATCATTAAAAAGAAATTGGATGAAACTGATTCGTTGAACTTAAAGAGTTCGAGAAAATAATGTTCGGTTGCGCTTTTTTTTTAATTACTCGCAGAAGATTTTATCGTCCGTCTTCTGAACGGGTTTAATTGCGATTCTCGTGAGAGAATTTTCCAGAATCTCGGCAAGAGCAGTGAAGAATGTTCCGAAAGAAAGTTGTCTCCGTGTTTTTTGCGTCCTTTAGCACGAAGCGAAACAAACGCATTAACGATCTTTTGTTTTTCTTTCTACTTTTTTTTTGTAGTAATTATATATATATATTGCAGTCAAGGCGATTGACTTGCACGGTTCACCACAGCTTTCTGTCTATTTCACCGCATAATTTGTATTTAACATTTAATTATTTTGTTTCGGAAAGAGCAATTAAAGTCGTGTGCGTAATGTAATTTTGCCAATGATTATTATTGTTGTTACGGTAGCAAAGACATGTAATTAAAAAGCGAAACTGATTGTACAATTTAGAGAAATTGTTAATGTTAAATTAGGAGTTTCAGGATTATAAAATTGGACCTTGCATATACCATTTAATTTCCAATTATTTGTCCCCTTTTGTGTGGTTTTATATAAAGGAAACATTCATCATCAAACGGAATGTTGTTGTCACCTGTCAACACATGTATAAAGAAATATAAAGTAACTAGATTATCTGAGTGTTCCCGGAAAAGTTTATCCTTATCAATTTGTTACATGTCGCAATATCAATATTATCCACGCGAAGCTCTCGCAAGTGCAGTTGACATTTTGATAATAACTGGGGAATTGTTTGTTATATATATTTTTCCATTATATTTCTCGTCGCTTTGTTGTGAAATTGTAAAACATCAGGAGTTTACATAAAAACCTTTCACGATTTGGAAAAATCACGATTACAGTATTCACGGTTTTGATAAGATCTTATATTTTTCTATTTACGAAATTCCGTTTTACATGGACTTTTGATTTCTTGAATACAAGAATCATTGATTTTATAGAAAATCGGTGGCAATCACAAGCCCGACAACCGAAATCCCGACGTTCGGCTCAAAGTCCCGACGTTGGAAATCCCGACTATATCGAAATCCCGACATTGTCTTTTATTATTATAAATTTCTACAATAACATTTTTATGGTAGTCGGGATTGCGATATAGTCGGGATTTTGATTGTTGGAATTATGGTAGTCGGGATTTTGACATAGTCAGGATTTCAAAAGACGGTCTTTCGGTTGTCGGGCTTGCGATATAGACCCATTGAAAATAACAAAAATTTAAGAATCTAAAGGAATTTTATATTCAGGTAAATATACAGTTTACAGTTTTACTACATGTTGTATTTTGCGTTTACAAATACGTGCTATCTTTTTACTATTGTTTGTTTTTCGTACATGAATTATCCACGAAAAAAACAATGTATTTCTTGTAATTTACAGCGTTTGTTATCTTGATCCATTAGAGTTTGTACGTCGATTAACTGTTTCTTTTTTCTCTATGTTGTGATAGTAAAGTTATTTGTGTAATAATGCAATATTTAATAGTTATCTTGACGTATTTATTTGCTATTATGCGCCCTGAAAATATTGATGGTCTCGACACACGCAATTTATTTGTTCGAAAAGGTGAGAAGAAAGAGTTAACCCATCAAGGATTTCTTTGTTACGTGTATTCCTATTGATTTTCAAATCTTGTTAGACTTCTGAACTAACCAAGAAACAACGAAAGTCCCGGTAATTGTCTTGGAAGGTCAGCCGGAGTATTAAAACGAATTACGTCTATTAATTAATTTGTAAATTTCCTCGAACGAATCAACGGCGATGCTTGATACGAATCCCCCTTTTTCTTTACTTTATCGTTTAATTAAAGTATAAGTATAGATTTAAGAGAAGACCACTGTTGCTGACATGTAATGAATTTTGCAGGAGGCCGAGCGGCTGGAACCAACAGAGGAAGGGCAGGGCTACTCGTACATAGATTACAGCGAGAAGCGTTCCCTGCCGATCTCCATACCGGATTACAATTACAATGAGCGAGGCGGTGAACGGTATGTCGCCTTCAACATCTACATGGCCGGAAGACACCTATGTTCGAGGAGGTACAGCGAATTCGCGAAGCTCCACAACGACCTCAAAAAGGAATTCACAGGTAATGATATATGTTTATGTGTGCGCATTTGCATCGAAACTCTTTGATCTATTGGAAGGGGATTATTGAATGTCCGTGGCGGTAATTTATGCCATTGATGCACAGCGTGTGTGTGTGTATTTTGGTGTTTCCTCGATGACTAACAATTCTATTTTGATTCATGACTTTGGGCATTATGGAAACTATTGAAAATATTTATGTTTTATAGATTCATTCATTTCATACCTCTCTATTTATATCATTTTTATTGCATTAAAATAATGCATTTGAATTGAATTTTGTCTATTCAACTATTATTGACTAATTTTTGGTTGTAGGGTTTACGTTTCCTAAGTTGCCTGGTAAATGGCCATTCCACTTGAGCGAGCAGCAGTTGGACGCGCGACGTCGTGGCTTGGAGCAGTATTTGGAGAGGGTGTGCGCTGTCCGCGTGATCGCCGAATCTGAGGCTATGCAAGAGTTCCTCACCGACCAAGACGACGAGTCGAACAGCAATCCTGTGGATCTGAAGGTGCTTCTGCCGGATCGGGACGTGGTCACGGTATCGGTGAAGAAGAGCGCCAACGCGGATGAGGTTTACGCAACGGTCGTTCGCAAGATAGGCATGAACAAAACGACGGCACGGTACTTCTACCTGTTCGAAATCGTCGAGTACAATTTCGGTAAGGCGTGAACGAATCAAGCATCTGCAAAATACGATTCTTAATGATTCCGATTATTCCAGAGCGCAAGTTGCAACCCACAGAGTACCCTCACAATTTGTACATACAGAACTACAGCACTGCGACGAGCACGTGCCTCTGCATACGCAAGTGGTTGTTCTCGTTGTCCAAAGAGCTGACCATGATGTCCGATCCTCAGGCCACCGCTTATTTGTTCTGGCAAGTAAGTATTCAGCGAGCAAAATTAAGCATCTATTGTTTTACTGGATAATATAATCCCATAGGATTAACACTTTAAATATGCACGAGTTGGTGTATATTTTCTTGCAGAAAGAGTTAAATTCCAATAAATACTATAAGTAAAAGTAGTTCCCGGTTTATGAATTCAAAAAGCTATATTTTCATTTGTTTGCTGAAATTGATGATCGAAACGATTTAATTACTTTTTTTTATGAGATTCTATGGATTTCTAAAAATATGCATATCTTTTGCTTTACTTTTAGGCAGTCGATGAGGTGAACCGAGGATGCATCCACGCCGGAGAGAGACTGTATCAGTTGAAGGCGCAGCAGGATCAGACCCGCGCCGCGGATTACCTGAGTTTGGCGCGAGAACTTTCCGGATACGGAGACGTCGTGTTTCCACATTGTTCTTGCGATTCTCGGAAGGACGGTCATGTGGTTTTGGGCGTCGGCAGCGGCGGATTGAAATTGCACGCGTGCAGCGAAGATGGTACCTTGGAGAGTCAAGTCGTGGAGTTGTCCTGGGACTCGGTGGCCCAGTGGGAGGCGGACGACGAGGCCATGGCTTTCTGCCTCAAATACAATAGACAGGAGAAGGCGCCCAGATGGGTGAAGATCTTCACGCCATACGTAAGTTCATACCTAACTTATTAATTTTATTATCTGAAAGTTGTACTCAAATGAAACTACAAATCTCATTTTTCGTAAACTCAATTTTACGATTTGCATAAAGTTGTAAGTTAATTTAAGTTTTTCTCATGAATAATTACAGTGAACTTTTTTATTTTCGCTAGATCCTAGTTTGTTCATTTAGTTCTACTGAAACAAGAATTTTAGTTATTATTATCATCTCTAAAAACTGTTATTATTCTCATATAATATAATAATTTGCTAAGTGTTAATATTTCTTGTATTTATATTGTTTGTTTCAGTATTTATATCTCCTGGATTGCTTCGAGAGGATAATGGAGGAAAGCAAGTGGGTGGACACCGGTGAACGTATGGGCCCGACTTCCATAAACGAAATTTAAAAGAACGTTCCATCCAGCAGAGGCAGCACGTTTGCATTTAATTATCAAGAAAGGAAAGCATTAATGAAGACTATATTACTAAGTATAGAAGCGGCAGAAGACTATTAAAAACAAATACAGTTTCCATCCTCAAATACACAAACACTTTTGACTATCTCCGCGAATGCCCATCTCGGCAGTCGGTTAAAACTACTTGTTTTAAAAGTAGCTTAAGTACATTTTCCTACGTTATTGATTAGTGCAATGATCATAAAAAAATGTATTTATTTTATTTCTATTTGTCTTTATTACGGTGTAGTAAAATACGATTACTTTGATGAACTTTATGGTGGACTTTCTTGTGATAGGCGAATGATGGTTTTTTCTTATTGGACGTAATTGGTTTGTGGCATGCGGAGGAGGAGCGTTCTCATCCAGCGGGCTGGATTATTGCTAGAATTACGATTGGCTATTGTGGACACTTTTGATGCTTTTCGTGTGCGTTGCGAAACGATGTTTATAAGATAATGAAAGAACGATGATGATGAAGAAGAAAGAGGATTGCGTTTAGAACACTGCCAGGGCGGTGCGTGATAATTCCCTCCCCCAAAAGACGAAGAACGAGACACAGCTGAACATCATAATAACTACTACAACTACATACATTTATAATAAAAAAAAATAAACAAAAATAAAACAAACAATATTAAGAAGAAGAAAAGGAGGGAGAGACGAAGAGTAAATAAACATATACATATCTGCGAGGAAATAATAGTTATTAATGTAAGCATTTCGGTTTTTCTCCCTTCCTCTTTCTCTAAATAAATAAATAAATATATATAATAAGTATATATCACACTCACTCAATCTTTAATTAATTTTCGTGTAACTCAACTTTACATAATTTATTTCGTTAGTCACGCTCGCTACATTTTAAATCAAATAAATATTACATATATTAAAAACGTTAGGGAATGAAGTTTGAATAATTAAAAAAAATATATATATTATTGATTGTAATAATGAAAAAGAGAAAAAAATCTATATTTATTGTGATAATTATTTCTCTTTTTTTTACATCTATATATATATAAATAAATATGTATTGTACATGAGATATATTTAATGACTATTATATTATATAAGAGCTTTTATGTAAAGATATTTGTCTCTCGATTTGTTGAAGAATTGCATTTGCATTGATTTGTAAATACACTGTTTATTGTGCTCTTGGATTTGATCACACACTTCATATATATATATTTATAAAAGTATATATTTACTCGGTTACTGTAGTTAATCCAGCAGCTTTCACTCTTTATTAGTATTAATACATTAAGTTTATATACGATAATGTTCCTTTATTTTGTAATAACAATAATTGACCACGTTGTTGTTGTGTGTGCGTGCGTATGTGTGCTCGAGTGTTGTACGGTATGGTTTGGCTTCAGTTCTTTCCGTGGTTGATGATGATTGATGAAAGGAGTACTAGGAAATTCCGTTGTTGAAGAATTAATGAGAAACAAGTTATACATATAGCATATATTACATGAGTATAGAGTGTAGCGTTAATGATATTGTGGCTGTTAAGCACAACATTCTAAAAAAAAAAAAATAATAAATTATATTAAATAGTTGATAAAACGCTTTTATATTTAAAATCACTGATTTCCCATTTCCTAACTTCTGTAAGTCCTATACTTAAACTGTGCCTAATATTGGGTGAAGTAAAAAGTTCTGAGCGTTTTGTCCCATACATTGAGCTTCTACTTGAGGCCTTATGCAAATGGTTCCAAACGGTTTTCTGGTTATTCTTCAGTTCCTAGGCAAAGGAATAAGTTCTCGCATGACGATTTCCATGATATTATCAACATTTTCGATGATTGTACTACGACGTACATATTACCAGAACGGAAGCATTGGAACCAACGCTTTGCTGTTGCATTTGATACTGAATTAGGGTCCATAAACAACACAAATTTTGTTGGCTGCCTGCTCTGATTTTTTCCCTTTGTCCTAGTGGTACTGAAGTATGTGAATTTTCTCTTTTTTACCTTCATTTTGAAACGCTTTAACATACAACTGGATTCACTAAACACAAAATTGTCAAGGAACTTTTTTTAAAGCGTTATGTCGTCTTTAAGTCGCAGTATAGAATGACAAGATGTAACGTATACATCGTGAGATATGGCTCACTGAAGTCATCTAATGAAAAACGGTCAGAACTTTTTACTTCACCCAATAATTAGCTAATTTGTCCAGACGTTTAGTATACATTTGGTATACATCTAAATAGTAACAAACATAATCCGTTTAAAGAAGATGTTCGTTATCAGAATTGTACGTTAACCCAACATTGATTTAGGAAGCTTCACAAGTAACGGTGGTATGGTGTTCGTTATACGAATTACATGTTATATGTTTGTTGTCCGAACATAAAAAAGTAATAGCATATTTAGAATTAATAAAGTTAATTACTAAACAACTTAAAAAAAAATAATCCAAAACTACCAAAAGATAGCAAACTTTATAATTGCAAATAATGATTTTACAAAAGAAGTAAACTTTAGAAGTGTAAAGTACTTTTTAATTTGTATAGATCTTAAAACAAAATAGGTGAACAATTTTTTTTACTAATTACAATTTGATTGTCACAGTTCCAAATAATTCAACGTGTGTTGCTTCAATTCGTGAATTTTCAATACATATTAAACACACAAAATAATTAATGATATACGTTATTTAATATTTGAATATTTTCACAACAAAACATTCAAATTATAAGGTAGAAAATACATTGAGATTAATTTTTGTTATTTTAGAAATAAACACGATTTTCGCACACAATAAACACATAATTTGTATAAGTTTAGTGGAGAAGCAGAGTTCGTAGGTCAAACAATATCCATAATAAAGATGATATAGTAATAGTTCACTGTGACGTATGAAATTTGCAAGAAATGCGAAAACTCGCATTCGTCGCAATCAGTAAATATACAGTGGAACCTCGCTTTACGAGCAATAGTAATATTACTCGCTTAACGAGCGACATTTCGCATAACGAGTGACGGTGAGAGAAGTCCCGGAATGCGCGCCTTCTACATCATTTTTAAAACTTGTGTATTTTTGAATATGTTTCACTATACGAGTAAAAATCCGGAAATTTCGGAACGGATTAAACTCGTTAAGCGAGGTTCCACTCTATTAAGTTTAGATAAATTATTAACCATGACAATTTTATTTTCTATAGGCCAAAGTTCCTTTTACGAAACGCCAGTTGTATGTTTTCACGTTTTATCGGATTTCGTCTGAATCGTTTAATGTTTACAAAGAAAACAATATCAACAAGTTTACGATCGAATTATTCATTGTATGCGTCTTTTGGCATTGAAATAACAAGATTGTACACATCTCTAGAAACGTATAGTCATTCCATGCAGCAAAACAACAACAGTGATGAATGAACTCAAACACTAATCTAACATATCAGAAGATGATAAAGAATAGACTATGAAATTCATATTAATAAAATATAATTAATTAATTTAAAAAAATGCAATGAAAAGTTGTTTTAAATTACTAGATTAAAAAAGAAATAATTGGTGGGAAAAACATTACAAAAATCGTTTGGTTAATGAAATAAGTCTATGCGAAATTTTGTCAACTGTACGAGAATTATATTTAAGTGTTCATAAAGAATAAATAACTTCATACTTTACATGACAATGATATTGCTTTCTTTTCTATTCACAAGTCAATAATCTCAGCTACTAGATTTGCTTTCTTTTCTTTTGACGACTGTAAATATACATAGTAACAAGAAACGAAAATAAACATTTAACAAAACGAGCTACTAGATGAGAGATTATTAGTAAATATAGAACGTTTTCAAATATAATACACTAATAATTCAAAGAATTACAATTATAAAAAAAGGGTTTGTTTTTTTTCGGGTTTACAATTAAATATGTCATCAAGGACACCGACGTTATTTGTTTATATTGTTTATAAAAATGTCAATAGTAATTATTAAATTGCGTGGAAACTTGGTTCTATTCAATTCGTTTCAAGGAAATAAATGTGAATGTGTATTGAAATACATTCACATGAAATTATTTAATAAAAAAAAATACACCTCTACAGTTTTGCACTGAATACGAGAGTTGTATTAACGAAGATTTGTAAATATTATAAATTAGAAAGAAAAAATTTGATATTAATCAAACTCAATTATTTGGAAAACTAACTAAAATAATTTTACGTAGGTCAAATAACGTGGAAAGTGAATGTCGATAATATAAAGTGTGTATGTGTTCTAAAAATAAATAATATTATATGACAAACAATTATTAGGAAAAACCTCATAAAACGCATTACTTACAAAAACGTAGTGATTTCAGTGAAAATAATAAAGAAGGTATTAATAAATGCCTAGCTATAAATAATTATTTTTTTGTAATTTAGAGTTTACAATGAAAATATATGAATTGAATTGAAAAGATAGTGGAATTGCGTTCATTCTATATAGCAAATGAGTTGTTCAAAATTTAATGATCAACTATAGTAACATGAAAAGCACAAAAATATACGTTACGAAACATTGAATAGTATTAATTGTCTCCCAATTAGTTATGTTCGTTCCGTTTCAAGTACACAGAATACTTTTTGAATATTATCAAGGCGACGACGTCGTGACTAACAATGAACAGTTCGTAATAATATGTTTTTGGACCGGGTTATCGCACACAGAGATTCATTTACGCGCTAAAAATAACAACGTTTCTGGACATTTCTTCAATTCCAATGAATATTGGAACAGCAAACGAGTAAAATAGTTTCTGCTAATGCGAACGGCAGTATTTCGTAAACGTTCGATTCCGTGGAAATTGTATACTATTGAATAACGCTGTTTTTAATTGTCGTGAGCTCTAATTTACTATAAACATTTGATCTACATAACGTCGCAATGCAAAATAGACTTTTATTTGTACATACACAAACAATTTTTTTTGCAAATAATGACTTTTAATTACACTTAGATAATCTGTGTAATTAAATGTACATGATTTGCATATTTTTTCTTTGCAAAATAGTCCAAGTAATAGTATCATAAACAAGTAACTTCTGTATTCATTTCATAGTTAAGCAGTATGTGTAACGAATGGGTGATCAGAACAAATATTGATTAGAATTATGAGTCTAATTACATTTAGATTATCTGTGTAATTGTACATGATTTGCATCTTTTTTCTTTACAAAATAGTCCAAGTAATAGTTTCATAAACAAGAAACTTTGTATTCTTTTCACAGTTAAGAAACACGTGCAACGAAGGGATGAACAGAACAAATAATGATTAGAATTATAAAGTCTTTTAATTACACTCGGATTATATGTGTAATTGTTCATGATGTGCATGTTTTTTTTTTACAAAATAGTCCAAGTAATAGTTTCATATACAAGAAACTTCTGTATTTCTTTCATAGTTAAACAACACGTGTAATGGAAGGGTGATCAGAATAAAATAATTTTAATTACACTTGGATTATCTGTGTAATTGTACATGAATGGCATGTTTTTTCTTTACAAAATAGTCCAAGTAATAGTAATATAAACAAGAAACTTCTGTATTCATTTCATAGTTAAGCAACACGTGTAACGAAGGGGTGATCAGAACAAATATTGATTAGAGTTATGGAAATAGAATGTAGTTAAAGTAATCAACGTGTAATTTTAATTACAATTTAATTGTATATGATTATTCTTTGGAGTTAAAGTATTTGTGTTGATTTGAAACACGTTTTTCTTGTACTGTTAAATAAATATTCTGAGACATAATGTTGATGACAATAACACTTGAACTAATTAAGCTAATAAAACTGTTACTTTTAGTACTTTATTCACTTGGATAATCGTATTTTAAATATTTCGTACAACAATAACGGTTTGATTACTTATTTCAATTGAAAATATGTTCTGAACTTAATTCATATAAGAAACTAGAATTTGACATTACAAAAGAATAAGTTTGAAGAATCTGCTTAGAGATATTTTTATAAAGTATATTCTTTGAAATTGTCAAAATCGATAAGAAAGGTTGGAGAGGTCGAATATTTTAAAAATTGAAAAATTACAAAAAAAAATCGTTGAATAATGTATATTTATTACTATTATTAAAGATATTTGTTGTTATGTAAATACGGAGTAGTTGAAAATATTCCTTTACGATGGTAAATAGTTTATAAAAGTCAAATGAACTACACAATTTCGGGTATGAAAGTAGTTCAAATAAAAAAAATTGGAGAAATCAGGGTATTTTTGATGAAATAAAACGTAATGTAATAAGTACATTGATAAATTCTTTATGCAACAATAAAAAGTACACCAGATTTTTTTAATATAAAATAAAATCTAAACAAATTCATCGCTAATAAAAATTATTACATAAATAATAAAAATATGATGTTCCTTTATTATTATTATTTTCTTTAAATATATACTTTATATTATTTATATTAGCTATGTGTTATATAATATCTTATCTATACGTCCCGTTCTATTTATTTAATTAATGTTTTTCTTGTTGGATAAAAAACGGGACTTATCTAACGCTCTACTTATTTTCAAATAACAAAAAAAACAATGCTATTATGCTTTGCTAAACCACCGAGTTATGTTTGCAAGGTAAATAGAACGTAACGAAAAAATCACCAATAAGATTTTTCGGCTCAACAGGATGATAATGAGAAACGCAACATCATTTTGGAATGGTCCCAGTTTTGGTAAGTGGAAGAAAAGAAGACGATAAAAGAAAATAATAGAGAGAGACTTGAAAAAGAAACACGTATATTGCTGTCATGTGGACGAAACTTAGGCTATATAAGAAAAGAAAAAAACAGGTTAAAGGTGAGTTTAATGGCTTTGGAAATAGAAGCGGTAGATGATTGTCGCTATTACGCCCAGAGTGATTGGGATAATCCAGGACATCAGCGAGCTGCAACAAGTACAAGAGTGAAAGAGTAAGAAAAACAATTACTACTGAATATTGAAGATTTGTAGGTGTTCTTTTTTTGTTATTATTATCGTTACCTTTCGTTAGGTTGGGCTTCGGAGTCGACGGTGGACCAGTTGTGGGTCTTCTGTTTCACTGGTTTGCGTTCGGCTTCGACGATGTCCCCGACCTTGTACTTGGCCATCATTTCCCTGGCGTCGGAGGAATGACCGACATCCTCGAAGGCTTCGCTTCCGTCCTTTCCTGCCTGCTCCAGAAGGACCTCTTCACCGCCGGGGTGCTAAAACAGGGAAGAAAAAAGGCGCGCTTCATTAGCCATTACGATAATAACAAATGATTGCAATTGCATAACGCGCACCGTCAACGTGTGTGCGTGCGTGTTTACTTTTTATTTATCCTTCGCGTTTCTCCCAGGTAAATGGTAGAATGCAATTACATTGGAAATCGTGATTGGTATGTTTCCGAATTAGGATGACCATTGTTAAATCAAAAAAAAATTGTTTTTCAAAAGTATAATTAATGTGTGTAAATAATGTAACGTTGTTTCATGAATATTGCAATTTCGAATCCAAGTCGAGACGAACGAAAATGAGATGAGTCTAATTACATAAAAAGGATGCGACGTACTCGAGATAAGTGTTATCACGATTAGTTAGGATGTTTGATTTGAATTATGTTAAGTCATTGATTGGTACAAAATTTGATAAGTAGGACGACTGTTCCTGAAAAATTAATAGGTACTCCTTGATGACAAACTTAATAAAAACAATTGATGTTAATTGAACTCTATCTTGAGGCGTAGGCTTAATGATTTATGTTTTTTTATCTATTAGTATTCAATGCTGTGCGGATTCTCTTACCTCGTTGAGGAACTTGGTCACATCGTACACCTCGTTGTGGATGATAATCCAGGTGCTGTGGTTATCGTTGTGCTTCTTGACTTCGGCTAACGTGAATTGTTTACCCATGTTGTTGAATGTGTGTAAGTATACTCGATTTAAATGCACCGAATCGTTCGGAAAACTGGAGAACGTGCTCTCTCGATCAGGTCTGTTCTTCTGATGTGGACGCGACTGTACGATTACAGTTCTATGTATGTCCTCGATGAACTTTGATCCTTCGACGTCGCCAATCGCCAACCACCAGCGATGCAATGATTCGGGAAAAAAAACCGACTATACGTAATATGTACTAAGGTAATGTTACAAATGGCATTGCCATCACATCATTCGTCCTTGAAAAGTCAGAGCGATAACCGATACCAACCTTTAGTGCAAGAATCTCGAAAAGTACAAAATTCTTATTGGAATCATTACATCTACATAAAACCTTTTCATTTACAAGAATCGCACTTGCAAAATTGAATAATTAAACAACAATTACTTAATTAGTCGGGATTTTTCTGAAAATCGCATTGAAACACCTTCGTCGAAGCTCAATCTGTTGATGTTCTGAACAACTAATGACGCGTTAAAGAACAAAAAGTTGCCTACACATCATTATTTTTTTGAATTATCACAGCGTTTTCTAAACTTTTAATTGCCCCATACTGATATACGTTAATTGCATAGAAAAATAAAAGTTACAAAGTATAAATATTAAATAATTTCTAAGAAATATTATATTTATATAATTGTTTGTTATCTGAATACAGGTTTGTTTAAAAAATCATTATTAAAAGAAAACTATTTCATTTGGCATTCAAGCTTATCTTACTATTTGCACTTTGTTATTGCTTTATCACAAATTTTCATTTGTGCTTGCGATAAATCATTATCATGAAAGATTAATTGGATTCCAAACTTTTTCTTTTCAAACTTTCTACGTAGTACTAAATATACTTTTATATAGTAAATCTTAAAAATCAAACTCTATTTATTTATAGAGGATGAAGGAAATCAAGATATATAGACTGATCTTAAATTTTATCAAAAACTCTGGATGTGTTGTTTGAATATTTATTATATATGTATTTATTCTGTTGTCTTTGTTACCCCTTATTAATCTGTTCTAACACTTTTTATTTACCGATCCGAGGCCTTCCCACACTGTAATAAGAGCTGATAGGTCCCTGCTCGTGAAGAGTTTGTATAAATGTTGAATTATGTTTTATTATTTATAAATTTACTGTATACTGGGTAATTGTCTTTAATAGTCTATTCATCTTTTTATTGTTATATTTTTAATTTTTTGCTTGTTTATATACTCTTTTAGTTTGTACTAGACATTTACTGGCTACATACACTGTGAGGTGTGAGCTAAGTGCACACCTCCACTCTATTATAGAGTGGAGGAATCAGAACAGAACAGAAACTCTATTTATAACAAATCCATATTCAAAAATATTTGTAAGAAAAGTTTCAATTTCAAATGTTAATTAGGAAAACAATAAACTGACTATTGACAAAGACCAGAGTTTCATTCAAATCAGGGCTGCAGTAGGGAAAACTTGCGTCTTTGGCCAAATATCTAATTTGCATCTCCGCCTCAAGAAATCAAAGGATCTAAATATTAAAAAGCACAACAGATACTATCCCCAACACTTGTTAAACTTTATAAAGTCTGCTTTAAAAGAAAACTGAATTAAAGGTAAATTTAGAGGTTTAAAAACCTCAAGGACTAGAAAAATATAATAATTGTGTATATTTTTAGATTAAAACTTTGAATTAAAATATATATGTAAAATAATATTAACAGGATTCTTCAATTGCGGTTCTGTCGGGCAAACGCGAGTAAAAATTGTTAACAAAGTTACTGGCCGCTTTCACCATCCTGGTGATGATTTCCTGGCACTGATCACGGACCGGGTACTTTGCGTAAGGTGTCCAAGTTCCCTTTTCCAGGACGGCGGGCTGAGCGAAGATGAGGCCTCGCGATATTTTGAAAGATTCGTTCGACTTGACGCCCAAAGAGATGACCTCGTTCGAGTATTTATTGCCGTACCAGATCTTCAGAAGGTTGACGGTTGCTGAGACCTTGGCGAAGATCGAGGGACGATCCAACTTAAAGAATAAACTCTCCTGAAAATTCGTAACAAGAATTAATTGTATTAATTAAAGATACTCGATAGACTATTACTTTTCGTATGAAAGCAGAGTTGCAGATATCGTCTGGATCGTCAATTAGGTAGTTGATGAACCTCATTTCGGTGGCGATGGTGCCCATCTGCAACGTGGAGTTCTCTGTGCTTCTGATGGCCCTCTCGAAAGGCTTGTAAACATCGCACTTCTTCAGGCAAAACTCCAAATCGACGAACTGATTGTTGTCTAAGTAACCCCAGACTGGAGGTCCTTGCAGCTTATCCATTGAGATCTTGCACTCTTCGGATATTTGGCTCAAAACACCCAAACCAATATCACTTGCTACGACGACGATATTCGGAATTCGGATGTGACAGCTATCGCTGAGCAAAGTCGCGGCGAAGCAAGTAGGACCGTAATTGGCGAAGATCACTTTGATCGACCTCTTACCTATCCTCGAAATCGTCTCGGCCAATTGGTTTATCCTAATAAGAATCACCTCCGGCTTATGTCGCTCCATTCTAGCTTAAACAACAACTTTACAATTAAATCAAACGCTAAATAATTCCATTCATACTCAGTCATATTCTCGAGAATGAAGAGGATGTCACAATCTTTGATGGCATCTCCGATGGTCTCGACCAAACAACCACTGCAATTGTAATCATTCTTTATGAAATCCAAGGCTTCGGCAAAATCGTTGTCTTCGTTGTCGTAGAAGTTCATGCGCAAAGGCTTCTTGCTGGTCAGCTCCTCGATTTTGAATAACTCAGGGACGAGAACATCGACGATGTCGTCGTATCCGTAGAACGTAATGTTGGTCGTCGCGTCTGGACCTTTGATCTCATCTATCTTTTGGGCTAAGAAGTTCTACAGTCAAAGTTTCCTTTAATTGTTCTATAACTAGACCATAAAAACAAACACCTCGTAATTATCTTTCGCCAGATCTGCTAGTTCTTCAGCGGAAAGGTACGATTCTAAGCCGTAATAGTCGAAGCAGTACTCCCAGAACTCGCTGATACCTCCAACGTAGTAACGCATTCCTCCATAGTACAGCAATTCTTTGTACACCAACGGGGATGAATTGTGTTGCCAGTTACTTGTGCGGTTTATTTTCCTGAGCCAAACCTGTTTAAATTATTGACTTAACTTGGCGAAACAACAGCATAATTAAATAGACCACAAAAACCATTAAGAGTTGTTTAAATTAAACAAGAAAACAATCATATGAAATAGTTAAGGCATAACAATTTGCAAGATATTTCTTACTGATTATTCAAATTATACCTTCCAATCGTTTAATTCGAATTCTTGTCGGTTTATATGGAAGTCAGGTAATTTCTTCTCGAGGTATCGACACACGTACGAGATGTGTGCATAATCCTTGCAGCTTGCAATACCGGCAATCACGAAGATGACCATCACGTTAACGTCACGTCAAAATGTTGATGTAATTATAACACGTGAAACATTTCATTGTTTATTTGGAAAATGTCATTACCAAAATTCGTCGTGAAAATGTTCAGTAGCAGAAAAACGCTGAAGATCACAGATCTTCCGCCCAACATATTGGAACGGATCCTCATGCAATTAGACTTCGAGGATTTGCTCACAGTGAAAGAGGTCAGCGTGAAATTGAACGTAGCGTGCAAGAGCATCATCGAGATAGGATTGCTGAACACTTTGAATTCTCTGCGCGTGAAGATCAGCAAGGTCGAGGATCACATGAAGTCGAGAAGCGTGACTCTGGAGAATAAGCTCAAGTTAAATCAAGTGCACACGAAGCTTCAAATCCTCGCAATCAATTTGTTTTCGGTGTACGTCTTGACCAGGCATTGTTTAAAGAACATGGATTACTTCACCATAGCTTCGGTCCTCGACGAAATCATCGCAGAATTAACGCAGGTGTTTTTATTAATCCTTTTGATTGAAGTTTAACCCAGTAATTAAACTTAATTTTATTTTTAGATGAACAACACTGAAGTATTGACTTGGCCAATGAGCGACTTTGTAAAGTCAGATATGCTCAGTAAACTTAACTTATGCAACGCGGTTTACGAGCATAGCAATTTACCATTTGGAGTGTACATAATGGATATTTTGGATCTGCTGATGGGCATCAACTATACCATATCATGTGATTACGACACTCTGAAGAATAGTTGCTCCGTTAACGCCAGTTACTTTACGGATAACACGAAGGTAGTGGCGGGTTGATCGATAAACTTAAAGCGTCTTTAAAGTTCCTCTTGTACTTGCCAGACTTTTCCTTCATGAAGGATTGCCAGGACAGGAAGTTGAGTCAGGCCGAAGAGGAGGGTATCTTGAAATACCTCCTGCTTATAGTTAATCTGTATAACGGAATGTTCTACAAGAACGAAGAGTACAACAACGAAATTCTACTTAGGAACAGCGCTTACAACCCCGTTAAATCTACAGTGGAAATATGCAGAAAGCAATTGAGCAGAACCTTCCAGGATGTTGGAAGAATCTTGGAGACTTACGAGAAGATCGTTGAGTACGATGGGAGTCTGAATAACAAGAGGAATGGGGTAAGATTAGATGTAAATTTTGAATTATTCCGATTAATAGACGCGCAGGGACTTCTCCTTTGCGAGATGTATTTGGAATGCAGTCTCGCAGAAGCACCGTTTCAGATACAGAAGAGCTATGAGAATCTTAGGAATCATTTGGTGCTGGAGGAGTATCAGCATATAAATTTACATCAGACTACGAGTGTTAATGCCAAGGATTACGGTGCTAAGATCAAGCTGAAAATTTGCGTGCAGAACAAATGCACCGAAGGATTTGAAGTTAACATCCTTGATGGGAATAGGATCTCTGATTACCAACCAAACTACCTTTCTTAATTTATATACAAATATTAATTGCAGCAATAAATTATCATTAATCTTTAACAAACTATGATTTTACATAAGTTAAAAGTTGAGCGCGCGCGTTTGGTTGCATATACAAATTGAATAATATAACAAACTTTTTATTACGATTATTGGATTTCAATTTTGTAATTATATAATTATGATTCATATTGTAGGCAATGAAAAGATTATTGTGTGTATTCATATATGCGACAAGTTGATTTGGTAACATAGTTACCGCAAAAACAGAGAACAGCTGATTATGAGTCACTGTTTCTGCCAAATAATGTTAACCCCTCATTGGAAAATACCCACATAGGAAAGTGAGCGATTTTGCTAAGATACACGATGAGTTCGAGGAAAGAGAGGCTGGTTCTGATGGAGCCTCAGGAGAGGCTGAAGCTCCTCACCAACAACAGTAACAATGTCGAGGTTGACCCAAACATTCCACCTGGGAGGTGAGTGTAAAGTAGACCTGTTCCCTGCAAACACAATCCTATTTGATTCAACCGCTTTGCAGGTATTATCGATCTGGCATTGAGCTCATTCGAATGGCCAATGTTTATTACACAGAGGGCAGCTACGAGAGTGCTTATGTGCTTTATATGAAGTATATGACATTATTCATAGAAAAGATTCGGAAGCATCCTGCATTCAAAGATGTGCCTCTGACCACAAAGGAGATCAATAAGCAGCAACTTAGGGAGATCATTCCAAAGGCTGAGAAGTTGAAGAAGGAATTGCTAGATCAATATACCAAAGAATATTTGCTATATAAGGTACAATTTTCTATAATGACAGTGATCAAGCTATGTTATTCTCTTAGTTGTCTGAGGAAATTATTAATATAATAATATTAAACTTTGTATTGATGTGTTTTTAGAGTATTAAAGAGAAAGAAGATGAGGAAGAGAGGAGAGCCACAGAAGAGGAAGAGGAACGGTCTAGGAGTAGGAGTACCAGCAAAACGAAAAGCACTCAGGGTCAATCGACTTGGATCGGGACGTCTTTGGTCTTGCCACCTACCGATATAGATAACATTAATTATCCCGATCCGAACATCGCCGTCAACGAGTTCAGGCCTTCTATACCGGACAAGAGTTCTAAGCCCACGTTTCCGACCTCTTCGTTAGTCTACGCTCTAATTGATCTTGAAATTATAACAAGGTTTAATATTTCAGGACAGTCTTGCAACCGATCGTTGATAGAAGCAGTAAACCATCGTCAATTAGCAGCCAAACGGCGGTTTCCGGTCTTCGAAGTGTCGTGGTTCCAACCTGCGTCATGCCTAGGTTTTTGCTGCTCGCCAAGAATAACACTCTGGCTAATAAAGAAACTTGCGGGATTTTAGCTGGAACTCTGGTCCGAATTGATTTATAAATTGGTGTTACGATCGTCCATCTAATCGCTTCATGATTACAGGAAATGAATCAATTGATAATCACCCATGTGATAATTCCTAAACAGAAGGGAACTTCAGACTCTTGTCTGATGATGAATGAGGAAGAGACTTTCGATTATCAGGACCAACATAATTTGATCACCATAGGATGGATTCATGTAAGATTCGTTTAAGAGTAAACAAACGGGTCAAATCAAGAAAATCTTGTTTTCAGACTCATCCCACCCAGACTGCATTTTTGTCGAGCGTAGATCTGCATACGCATTGTCCGTATCAATTGTTGATGCCCGAAGCTATTGCCATCGTCTGTGCACCTAAATATAATGAGTAAGTACTAGATTTCATTAAAATACTAGATTCTATTCATAATTATCAATGTTATAATATAATTTATTTTCAAGTACGGGTATTTTCGTATTGACACCCGATTACGGATTGGATTACATTCTGAACTGCAGACTTTCCGGATTTCATCCGCATCCCACCGACCCGCCTCTCTTTATGGTATTTATCAAGAACGAATCTATTGATCTAGTCTTTACAGCATTCAATTTTTAGGCTGCCGAACACATAAAGATGAATGGATCAGCGCCTCTGGAGGTGCTGGATCTTCGTGATAAGAAATAACACTGAAACGGAAATATTTATGAACTTATCAGATAAAATATATATATATTTGAACAAATATTATATATACATACAAAAAGCGCTATTTTTACTATTTCTATATTGAATCACTATATACATAGCTTTTCTAATTGTAATTGCATTTTTTTGGGTTCTCATGTTGAAGTATAATAGCAATACTCGTCGAAGCGTTCCGACTTTGAATCACGTTTTCTTTTGCGCTTTTTAAAAAAAGGAGTATTGCCGCACGAACACGTATCGTGTTTCAGCTAGAAGTAAAGTGAAACTATAATTTATTTATTTCTTTTATATATTATTCCATATGTTGTTGAGCATTCAATGTTTATTGTTTTCCATTTGTTTACTTATTGAAAAAACGAAAGTAATAAAACCTTCTTATGACGTTCGAATATGGATTTATTATTTTCTGTGATTGTGCCTTTAATAGCTTACGAAAGTTAAACAACGATGATGGCGGAAGCAGTTTGTATGGTGATTAATTAACTAAAATAATATGGTATTTTTGTAGAAAAGGGATGGCAATTAGAACAGAAAATTCACTATCACCGTTATCTAATTAAGGCGATCAGTTTTCTTCAGAAATGTTCAAATTTTTGCAAAGAATACAATTTAATTATATAAATAAATGCGTCTTTAGTCTATTTTTATTAAAAGTAAGTAAAGTAAATAATGTTGTTATTATTTTTTTCGTTGGTTTAACACTTTTATAGCAATTGAGTTTTATAGGCGATTCTATAAATATTACAGACATTGCAAAACTTTTATATGAAAATATCGTAAATTCAGTTAGATAAAATCACAGGTCAAAAGGGGACAGTATTCATTTCGTTTACAGGCTGGACGGTACGATAGAAGGATGTCGTTTTCAGTGAATACACTTAAAGAGAACGTGTCAAAGACGAGGCATGTTCATTTGAAAAAGCTGTTTGATATCAAGGAGCCGTGGATGAAGGTTTTTGAGGAAGGACCGTTGTCTGGAAAGAAACTGGAAATGAAACTGGTAACCAATTTCATTATGTACGTGGGTACGGATAAATTCTGTTACCTAATGAGGACGATCACTGATTTTCCAAAATTACAAAAGAAAGACGTCGAACAGTTAACTATACTTCGTTTAAAAGCGGTGCGGGTTGTTAATCACCTGAAGATGACCAACATCAGTTGCGAATTTAAGGATCACGGATTTTTCGTGATTCTGCACCTTCTCTGTTACAAGCTGGACGAGGAAACGAGAATCGCGTGGTTTAGGGACGAAGAAATGAGCCCTACCGTCGACAATTTGCTTCAATTTATCAATGGATTCATTAAACTATGAAGATATTGTGATGTTTAAATAGGATAAATTAATTGAAAATGCAGTTTGTTTGTTTGTAAAATACTGTAGATTGTATAATAACTTGAATGTACATATAAAAATAATATATTTATTAGTTTAATTTGTTTTGACTTTTTTGCTCTTTTTAGCTCTAAAGCAGTTAATTACTTTTTTAATAATGTAAAACGAGATCAGCGAGGAAACAGCGAGAATTGCGAAAAGAGCTGCGTACACATCGATAAGCATCAGCTGGTACCATGGGACTTTAGAAGATCTGGGCTTCAGGTGTTTTGCTCCACGATGCTTGATTGCGTGCTCCACCCAGAAGACGGCTTTGTCCATGGGATTGATTTCTTGGTTCTTGTAGATGTCAGAGCGTAATTTAACGACTCTCGTGTAAACTGGGTTTCCGGTGATCTCGTTGATGGCCGAAGTTAAAGTATCCTCGTTCACGTCCTTAAAATCCAAATGGATTGCGTATCCATTGTGCACGCTGTCGGCAGTATTTTTGGATTGATCCCCGAAGAACGGGATGCAGATCATGGGAACTCCATTATAGATGGCCTCGACTGTACTGCCCATTCCACCATGCGTTATGAATGCTACAGTCTTCGGATGTGCCAATACTGCTTTTTGCGGTAACCAGCTACTGATCTTTACGTTCTTCGGGTTTTTCATGTTTGATGGTAGTTTGCCCTCGAATTTCCAGAGGATGTCGTACTTGGATTTTGCGAACGCGTTCATTATCCCTTCGAGCTTCTCTTTGGGTAGCTCTGCGCTCTTTAGATTACTGCCCAGACTGAACAAGATGACGCCGTTCTTGGAAGCGTCCATGTAAGAGCGAATATCCTCAGGTAATTGCTGTTTCTCTTGGAGATGGAATCCTCCGATTTGAATCATGTTGGGAAAGTAAGCCCTAGGCGTTTCCGTCGCGAAATGCGAGTTGATCAAGTGCAAGTCGACATCTTCTAAAAGTTCATCGATGCTCGGCGAGGTCGGGAAAAACTCTGCTGCTAAACTCTTTTGGGTCGGCAAAAAAAATGTGTAAAGAAGAAAATCGCCAAATAAACTGACGACTGTGTTTATCAGTCTCTCGAAGAATCCCATCTCGTCGTTGAACGGTAAGAAAATATTGGGTACAAACGAGTACTGCGCTGGTATACCAGTATGGTAATTTACTCCTGGCATTCCTCCGATTATGCTGAATCCGATGGTCGTCGCGTTAACGACATGCGAGATCGGCAGGAGACTTTCCATGAAACCCACCATTTGAATGCACAAATCGAATTTTTGTCCCTCCTTCAGGAAACTCTGCAAGTTCGGATCTGTCAGCACGATCCTACCAGCATCTCTTACCGCATTATAGAATATCTTCATTTTCTCCAATTTACCAATATCTTGCATCATCGTTACGGACATGGTTTTATCTTTCCATGCCCTGATATCATCGAGCACGATGTCTCTGTAATTCTTAGGAGGATTCTTTAACGGGTTTGGAGAGATCATTGTGACTTCATGACCTCGAGAAGCAAGCTCTTTCAGCAGAGCGCTCGCAAGAATTTGATGACTTGGACTCGGAAATGGAATAATTGCAAGGATTTTAGCACCCTCGCCGATGGCCAGAAGCACCAAAAGAAATAAACCCACCTTTTTCATAGCAATCACTGCACAACACTATTGTATGAACTGATATTCAGCTGTAATTATATTACCCTTATTGTACTTATATTTATCGATATAAGTACATGTTTATGCAATCATTACTTTATCTCCCACAAGTCTAGTAAACATGACATTCAATTTTATTTATTCACTTATCATTACATGTTGCTGATAAACATTTATATATATATTTGCTCTCGTTTTTTGCATATAATGAAATAAACAAGTATAATTAGATGTTTGATTTATTAAGCTCTAATTGATCCTGAAATTATATTAAATTATTTGAAAACCATAGGATAGCTTCTTGTATGATACATTTCAGAGTAAGCAAATGGATGAAATCAAGATATTGTGATGCTTAAATAAGATAAATTCACTGAAAAGTTTGTTTTCATTACTTTAATACGGGTGAAATACTGTAGAATGTATGTACATATAAAAATAATACATTTATTAGTTTAATTTGTTTTGACTTTTTTGCTCTTTTTAGCTCTAAAGCAGTTAATTACTTTTTTAATAATGTAAAACGAGATGAGCGAGGAAACAGCGAGAATTGCGAAAAGAGCTGCGTACACATCGATGAGCATCAGCTGGTACCATGGGATTTTAGAAGATCTGGGCTTCAGGTGTTTCGCTCCACGATGCTTGATTGCATGTTCAACCCAGAAGACGGCTTTATCCATGGGGTTAATTTCTTGGTTCTTGTAGATGTCAGATCGTAATTTAACAACTTTCGTGTAAACTGGGTTTCCGGTGATCTCGTTGATGGCCGAAGTTAGAGTATCCTCGTTCACGTCTTTAAAGTCCAAATGGATTGCGTATCCGTTGTGCACGCTGTCAGCAGTATTTTTGGATTGATCCCCGAAGAACGGGATGCAGATCATGGGAACTCCATTGTAGATGGCTTCGACTGTGCTGCCCATTCCACCGTGCGTTATGAATGCAACAGTCTTCGGATGAGCCAATACTGCTTTCTGTGGTAACCAACTACTGATTTTTACGTTCTTTGGATTTTTCATGTTGGACGGTAATTTTTCCTCGAATTTCCAGAGTATGTCGTACTTGGATTTTGCGAACGCGTTCATTATCCCTTCGAGTTTCTCCTTGGGTAGATCGGCGCTCTTTATGTTACTGCCCAGACTGAACAGGATGACTCCGTTTTTGGAAGAGTCCATGTAAGAGCGAATATCTTCGGGTAATTGCTGTTTCTCCTGCAGATGGAATCCGCCGATTTGTATCATGTTTGGGAAGTGAGCTCGAGGAGATTCCGTCGCGTAATGCGAGTTGATCAAGTGCAAGTCGACATCTTCTAATAGTTCATAGATGTTCGGCGAGTTTGGGAAGAACTCTACGGCTAAACTGTTTTGTATCGGCAAAATAAAAATGTACATAACAAAATCCATAAGAAAACCGACGACTGTGTTTATCAGCCTCTGGAAAAATCCCATCTCGTCGTTGAAAGGCAAAAAAACATTGGGTATAACAGAGTACTGCATCGGTATACCAGTATGATAATTTAATCCTGGCATTCCTCCGATTGGGCTGAATCCGATGGTCGTCGCGTTAACGACATGCGAGATCGGCAGAAGACTTTCCATGAAACCCACCATTTGAATGCACAAATCGAATTTTTGTCCTTCCTTCAGGAAACTCTGCAAGTTCGGATCTGCCAGCACGATCCTACCAGCATCTTTTACTACCTCATAGATTATCTTCAATTTATCCCATTTACTAGCATCCTGCATCTTTGTTACGGACATGGTTTTATCTTTCCATACCCTGATATCATCGAGCACGATGTCTCTGTAATTCTTAGGAGGATTCTTTAACGGATTCGGAGAGATCATCGTGACTTCATGACCTCGAGAAGCTAGCTCTTTTAGAAGAGCGCTCGCAAGAATTTGATGACTTGGACTCGGAAACGGAATAATTGCAAGGATTTTAGCACCCTCGCCGATGGCCAGAAGCACCAAAAGAAATAAACCCACTTTCTTCATAGCAATCACTGCTCCTATTATGCACAACACTATTGTCTGAACTGTTATTAAATTGTACTTATATTGTTCGTATTGTACTTATATTTATCACTTTAGATTTGAATGCATATCTATCTCTCTCCAGTAGATCTAGTGAACGTGACATTCAGTTTTATTTACTTATCATTAAATACTACTGATAAAAATATTTATATATATATATTTGCTCTCATTATTCATATATAATGAAGTAAACATGTATAATTAAGTTTTTCATTGCTTCTCAATTCACAAGATATTTGGATTATAGATGTTGAACTGCGTCATGTTCATGTGGATCTTTTGGGAACCTGATGAGCCCTCGCCAGCATGTCCTTCAGCATGGATTGCTGATCATGTAACTTTGCGATGGGAACGGGAGGATGACTAAGGCCGCGGCAAAGAACGTGAACGCGATTTTAGCCGTACTGAATTCTACTGCTGCTATTGCACGACTGACAATAATGAGAATAGTTGCATTATATTTAATTTTGCCAACAGCCGTTTCCTAGCTTTACGAGCCAAAGGTCTCATTCCAATATCGAGTGATTCATTCATAGAAAATAATCAATTAATTGCTATGCAATTTGCAATGCAAATTTAGATAATTGAACAGGTAATTGTAGCGTTTCCCGCAAATGGAATCCTGAGATTTGAATCATGTTCGGAACTAAATCCTAGCCATTTCAAAACGTTAGTTGGAAGTCTAAATCTTCTAAAAATTCACGAATGTTCCGCGTCTTCAATCGATATGCGGCAAAAGACCATTTTAATGCAAAAATTGAATTTTGTGGTTCCTTCATAGTGCAACACTATTGTTCCTATAATTATATTGCTATACTGCAACTACACCTCCCATTTACCGACTTATTTATAGAATCAAAGAAACAATATATGCAAGAATGATAAAACGAATTTGTTGCTCAGAGCCAATGGAAGGGAAGACATTACTTCAACGTAAATCAGAGCATAAATGGAACCCCGGCTCAAATTGTCTCTCCTATGTTTTTAGATCCCGTGAATTTGTATTAAAACAGAAGCTGGCGTAATTGTGTCAGTGTTGTGACATGGTCTAAGTGTAGTGGGGGAAGCGTGGATGCCTGAAGAAAAAGAAGAAGATGACTGCATGCTACTTTACTATTTACAGTGTTACTTTATCTATTTACATACGAGTTGATATTCATCTATTTTCTCCACAAATCTAGTGAACGTGACATTCAGTTTTATTTATTTACTTATCTGCTGATAAACATTTATATATAACATAAATGTTATAGAGTCATTACATAATTGGATTGTAAAATAAACGATGAAGTGGAGGTAGTAAATATAATTTATTTCTATTTATTTGTTCTATTTATTCGTGTGTCTGAAAACGTAATATCGTTGTACAAATTGCATGACAAATGATACTAAATAATTATATATAAGTTCAACAATAATTAATATAATGATGTATCGAACGCACAAATAAAAATTGTATAATAAAAAAATAACGAAATGTAATTAGGTTCTAATTTTTCTTGACCTTCTTGGAGTTGGTCGGTGCCTTTTTACATTGCTTCTTGCAGATGCAACAGGCGATTTTCTTTAATGTGAAGTAGATGAGACCGAAAGCGATCAAGAGTATGGCACCCAAGAAGGCGAATACGTCGAGAAGCATGTACTGGTACCATTTGAGTTCGGTGGCCATCGATTTCATGTGCTTAGCGCCGCCGTGCTTGATGACGTGTTCCACCCAGAATACGGCCTTGTCCATGGGGTTCATCTCTTGGTTCCTGTATATGTCCGAACGGAATTTGGCTGCTTTCAAGTAGCTCGGGTTCTCGGTGACTTCCTTAATAGCGTCGGTGACGATGCGCTCGGTGATGTTGGTGATTTCCAATTGGAGAGCGTAACCGAAATCAATGCTGTCTGCGACGTTCTTCCTTTGGTCTCCGAAGAACGGGATGGCGATCATCGGTACACCGTTGTGGATGGATTCGGCGATGCTGCCGAGTCCACCGTGGGTGATGAATACTTTGCATTTGGGATGTTCGAGGATGGCCTTCTGCGGCAGCCAGCTGCTGATCTTGATGTTCTTCGGGAGATTCGGGAGGTCCTTTTCGTACTTCATCAGGAAATCGTACTTGGAGTTGGAGAAGGCTTTGATGAACTGTTGCATAACGTCGCCCTTAAGTTCGGCGGTCTTTATGTTCGAGCCGAGGCTGAAGAAGATGACGCCGTGCTTGGATTTGTCCATGAACTGTTTGAGGTCGGCAGGAAGTTCCTCGCGATCGTACAGGTGGAATCCGCCGATTTGGATGGTGTTGGTTAAATGGGGTCTGGGACTTTCGGTTGCGTGATGGGAGGTGATGAGATGAAGATCGACGTCCTTCATGATCTTGTCCAAGCACAATTCAGGGTAGTACTCTTTGACAACGGCTCTCTGGTTCGGGTAATGCTTGAAGTGGATCATCATTTCGAAGCCGATGCTGAAGAGGGTGTTGATGACACGTTCGAAAAAGGTCATTTTATCGCTGTAGTAGTAAAAAGTGGCTGGGACGTAAGCATGTGGAGACGGGATGGCCGTGTGGTAGTTGAAGATTGGCATTCCACCCATGATACTGAAACCAATGTTGGTGGCGTTCAACAGGTGACCGACGGCGAGGACGGCCTCGGTGTATCCCATCATGTTGATGGCCAGATCGAACTTCTCGCCAGATTTAAGCAGCTGCTGCAATTCCTTCTCCTCGAAGAAGGCGCGAGTCAAATCGGGGAGACTCTCGTGGAAGATAGCCTGCTTCTGAATTAAGCCGATGTTCGGATTCGAGATCTTCTTCATTGCGGATTGCTTCCATGCCAACATGTTGTGCAGCGTAACGTCCCTGTAATTCTTTGGCGGAGTCTTGAAGGGGAAGGGCGAAACCATTGTAACCTGATGACCCCTGGCCGCCAGCTCCTTCATCAGGGCCTTGCCGAGGATGTGGTGGCTTTGCGATGGGAACGCGAACATGCCCAAGATTTTGGCTGCGTCACCGCAGGCCAAGGCCGCGGCGAGAAGGAAGAACACGAGCGCGACTTTAGCCATACCGAATTCAACTGCTGCTGTCGCACGACTAGAGAATAGAGAGTAGCGTGAAAAAGAGGAGAGCTGTACAATGTTTAATTAGCACGATAAGCTATTGATACATGCCACCAATCAAGGCCAACTGCCGATTCCTATCTATGCTTCCAACTACACACGCACACATAATCATATATATTATACGAATCTTCCGAGCCGAACGTCTCGTATAAAAAAAATACACGAAAGATTTGTTTAGAAAACCGCTACTCAATTGCCATGTATGCAAAGAGAGGTGAATAAACGAGCGAATGATTTCGAACGCGGAAGGTGGGGTGAAGGTCAAGTTGCATGGAAACAGCATTACATAAAAACAAAATAATAAACGTACGCATAGATACGTAATTTTGGTAAGATTAGGTAATAAGCTATAAATAAAATGGATGATTGATTTTGTTTTTATTAAACGCTTGTCATCATCATCGAGTTTTTATTTTTGCAGTCTTCTTGCACAGAAACTGTTTGAGTGACGCAACTGCGTAATTAACTGCGACTAAAATAATTGCGAGTACTGCGATTAGTAAAGCCATCACGTCCAGCAGCATGTACTGGTACCACTTGAGCTCGGATGCCATCGGTTTGATGTGCTTGGCGCCTCTGTGCTTTGCTACGTGCTCGATCCAAAATACAGCCTTCTCCATGGGATCCATCTCTTGATTTCTGTAAATGTCCGATCGGAATTGAGCTTTTTCCAAATATTTCGGATCTGTAGTGATCCTCTCTATGGCATCGGTTATCTGTGATTCGGTAATCGTCGCTATATTCAACTCGATTGCGAACCCGAATTCCAAGCTATCTGCAACGTTCTTTTTCTGATCTCCGAAGAATGGTATAGCGATGATCGGAACGCCGAAGTAAACGGACTCGGCGATGCTTCCGAGTCCACCGTGCGTGATGAACGCTTTGGTAGCGGAATGTTCGAGGATGGCCTTTTGAGGTAACCAACTGCTGATTTTGATGTTCTTCGGGAGATCAGGTAGATCGTCTTCGAATTTCATCAGGAAATCGTACTTTGATTTGGAAAATGCAGAGATGAACTGTTGGATCGTTTCACGTTTCAGCTTGGCGCTCTGGATGTTCGTTCCTAAACTGAAGAGGATCACGCCGTGCTTGGATCCATCTATGAAGCTACGGATGTCAGCCGGCAATTCTTCCTTTTCGTGCAAATGGAATCCACCTATTTGGACGGTGTTGGTTAGATGCGGTCTTGGACTTTCGGTTGCATAATGCGAATTGATCAGGTAAAGATCGACGTCGCGGATGATGTCATCCAAGGAAAGATTCGGATAATATTCTTTGAGAACGTTAACTTGATTAGGGTAGTACTTAAAGTGTATCATGATCTGCAATCCGAAGCTGACGATTGAGTTCACGAGGCGCTGGTAGAACGTCATCTTGTCGTTGTAGATATAAAACGTGCTTGGGACGTACGCGTATGGCGTGGGGATGCCCGTATGGTAATTGTAAATTGGCAATCCTCCCATTATGCTGAAGACAACATTGGTAGCGTTGACCAGGTGACCAATTGCCAGACTCGCTTCAGTGATGGCCTCGGTTATGGCAACGTCAAATTTCTGACCAGAATTTAAGAATTCCACAAGTTCCACCTCCTCGAAGGCAGTCCTCACCACGTCGGGCAGCGCCTCGTTGAAAATGTGTAATTTTCGTGGTACACTTATATTCGGATTCGCAATCTTCTTCATCATCTGGTACTTCCATTCCATGACCCGGTGCAGAGTAACATCTTTGTAGTTCTTCGGAGGATCTTTGAGAGGAAACGCCGAGATCATAGTGACTTCGTGACCTCTGTTTGCCAGCTCCTTCAGGAGCGTCTTCCCCAAGATGTGGTGACTCTTAGAGGGGTAAGGAAAAACGCCGAGGATCTTGGCACCATTGCAGTGTTCACCCAAGAAGATCACAAGAAGTGCAATAGCAATTTTGCTGAACAATTTCATCGTTTCGATGATGTCAAGTGACTAATAGCTGAATCCGTCGAGCATCCTCTTTTAAAGGAAACGACCAACCGAATTGTTGATAAACATTTGCCAATTGACATTTACTCCTGATTACATTATCAAGAAAATCACAATCGAATGATATCAATGAATACCGCAAATGCAATAAGACAAACGACAAATGCAACACTAATAAAAGAAAGGTGCAAATATACCACCAACTACACCAATACAATCATTAAATACAATAAAACACTCTTTATAACTTATCATTTATATGAAACCATTTCTTTGCACTATATTTAATCAACCAAATATTCTGATGAAAGTTCTTCCTTCTATTGTGAAATGTTTATTTACGTTGTAGAAACAAGTACGAACTTGCAGAGTTAACCGTCAATAGGAACTGAAATTTAGTCATTGATCAGCATGCCAATTCGTGACTTTTTTTATTATTTAAATTCCACCTTAATCTTAAGTAGTCGCTATCGCAACAAATGAACCAAAAATAAAATAAAATAAAATACAAAGCGCATACCATTAATATTAGAAACTACATAACTCAATGCCAGTGTGACTCCAGTTAAATTAATTTAAAAAAATAAACTGTCTGCAGTAATGAAAAATCTATAGGAATATAAAAATTGTGTTGTATTTGTTTGTTTGTAATAAATGGATTGTGTAATCTGAAGTGGTTGGTTAAGGAAGTCGGTGATAAGATTACCTTGATGATGGATTTAAAAATAATTATAAAGGTTCACATGAAAAACTTCATAAATTAGTGTTAATTGGAAGGAATATGACAATGTTGAAGTGCAATATTTTCAAGATAAAAATGGTCAAAATTGAAAAAGCAAGACAATGAGTGTTCATTAGTGAAGTTCGTATAAAATTCAAATACATTAATTTACAGACCAAAAATGCACACCTGGAAACGGTCATATCTCTATAAATCTAATCGAACATATCAAATAATCTACGTTATAGCATAGACAGGATAAACGTTTGGTTGTTGAGTGGATTTTGAAGTTGTTAAGTTTCTCGTTTTTTTCCTGTAAACAAATATGCTTATGAATTGTTATCAATTTTTTAATTACGACGATAAATAAATTTAGATATTATCAATCAAATGTTAAAAATTAGGCCATACGCGATTATAATCTCAGATGAGGATGGATAAAATTTGATACTAATTTGCAATTCAAAAGATTTTTTTTTCATATATACGTGTTAATGATGTTGATTCAATGATGCAATTGTGTGTTTAACATTTTACCTGCGCCATTGAATATTGATATATGACTAATCTCGTGAGAAACGTAGAATAAGTTGTCAACATTTTCAAAGTAAATAAATGAAATGCATGGAATTCTACCGGGCTAGTAAGGTCTTCACACCTTGTTTTTGCTGATAACGAGAAACTTATTGCAAGGATTTTTAATATAAATTTGAGTTTTTTATTAAACTTTAAATTAAATTTTATTTACATAGATTTTAATTTATTCGAGGATTTTCTGCAGAGATTGATTAATGTTTTAACAGTGACGTAGATTAGAGTTAAAGAGATCATTAGAATAACAAAGAGAAATCCGAAAACGTCCATCAACAGGTATTGGTACCATGCTAATTGCGTGACCATCGGTTTCATGTGTTTAGCACCTCGATGTTTGATAACATGCTCAATCCAGAATATGGCTTTATCCATCGGATCGATTTCCTGGTTCCTGTAGATGTCCGATCGGAATTTCGCTGCGTTCTTGTACTTGGGGTTCTCAATGATCTCGGCAATGGCATCCGTCACGATTTCCTCCGTCATATTCGTAAAGTCCAATTGGATCATGTATCCAAAATCCAGACCTTCGGCAACGTTCTTTCGTTGATCATTGAAGAATGGAATCGCAACCATTGGAACGCCGCTGAAGACGGCTTCGGCGATGCCGCCCAAACCACCGTGCATGATGAAGGCTTTACAGTTGCGATGTTCGAGGATGGCTTTCTGCGGTAACCATTTACTGATCATGATGTTTTTCGGAAGATTCGGAAGGTCCTTTTCGTATTTCATTAAGAATGTGTATTTGGATTTGGAGAAGGCGTCGATGAAGCTCTGGATAGTTTCTGGTTTTAAATTGGCGCTCTGGATGTTAGTGCCTAAGCTGAAGAGGATGACGCCGTGCTTGGAACCATCCATGAATCGTCGAAATTCAACCGGTAATTCCTCCTTCTCGTGCAGATGGTATCCTCCTATTTGTATGGTATTAGTTAGATGAGGTCGTGGACTTTCGGTGGCGAAATGCGAATTCAGTAAGTAGAGATCGACGTCTCGAATCAAATCATCCAGCTCTAAAGTAGGATGGTATTTCTTAAGCGTTTCTCGTTGCTTTGGGTAATGGCTGAAGTGGATCATCAGATTGAAACTTAGGCTGAAGATGGTGTTCATGACGCGCTGCAGGAAAGTCATTTTATCATTGTAAATGTAAAACGTGTTCGGGACGTACGCGTACGGCGACGGAATGCCCGAATGGTAATTGTAGATGGGCATTCCACCCATTATACTGAAAGCAATGTTCGTGGCGTTCAGAAGATGACCGATTCCAAGCACAGCCTCCGTGTATCCCATCATGTTGATGGCCACGTCGAATTTCTTTCCAGATTTCAGCAACTCTATCAACTCCGGCTCTTCGTAAATCATCTCCACGGCTTTAGGTAGTGTTCCGTAGAACGCTATCAATTTCCTTACAATTCCCAAATCCGGATCACCGATCTCTTTCATGACCTCGTACTTCCATTCCATCACCCTGCGCATGGTCACGTCAGTGTAGTTCTTCACTGGTTTCTCTAACGGAAACGGCGAGATCATCGTGACCTCGTGGCCTCGCACCGCTAACTCTTTCATCAAGGTTTTACCCAAAAGGAAGCTGCTTTTCGAAGGATGCGGAAAGACGCCAAGAATCTTCGCCCCATTGCATAAGGTCGTCACAACGAGTAACAATAGTAGAGCTGATTTTATAACATCCATTGCGTTCTCAATAACACTCTCACTGTTTTCTAGTATTATATAATTATACACCGATAATAGACGAGTAACGAGATAAGCCGAACGCACTACTTATGTACGTATTTACTCCTAACTACGCGAAAAACAGCATGCAACAAAATTGATATTTGAATATTCTGTAAAAGAAATAGGTTGAAGCAAAAATATATAAACAAAAAATCACTCTATATCAGCGTCTCAAGTGAAGACTACATTTGTTGTAATTTGTTTAATCAGTTAATTTGATACTACGTTTTAAATAACAATGCTGGTTTGTTTAAGAAATGCTAAATGAACATTAATAACAACGACGAAGATATTTCTGTCTGCACATGCTTCTCACTTCAATTAAATCATAGACGATTGGCCTTGGACTTTAAATTTACGTGACTTTACGATACAATCTTCATCATTTAGGCAACACACTTTACTGAAGTGCCTGAATCGTGTACAATATTGAGATTCAAAATTGTGATATATTATTTTTTTTTGTATTATTCATTTCAATCCACTAATTATTTGGCGACTTTAATTTGTTGATAAACGTAAATAATAAACATTTTCTAGTATTTTCGACGATTTTTATAAAGATTTATGTTTTTTAAATTTTATAATATTGGACAGTAATAACTAATGCTTTTTTAGTAATTATTTATTTAATTAATTATATGATATAAACTTTAATATTAAATATGAGAAACGATAATAATTGTAAATGATGATTTATTGTAATTATTGTATTTTAACTTTTCGTTTGATGAGAGAAGAAATCAATTTAATTACTAAGTAAATGAATAGGAAAAATACTGATAAAATTGTGAGGATGAAAGCGAAGACGTCGAGCAGCATGTATTGGTACCAGGGCATCTTTTTGATCTTCATGTGTTTCGCCCCTTTGTGCTTGACAATGTGTTCTACCCAGAATACAGCCTTTTCCATGGGATTCATCGGTTGATTCTTGAAAATATCTGATGCCGATCTGATACGGTCACGGTACATAGAATTACCTGTGATTTCCTCTATAGCCGTGCTCAAAGATATCTCGGATATATCTTTAAGTTGAAGTTGTATTGCAAATCCGTGTTGCGCGCTTCCTTCGCCGTTTTTCTGCTGATCCGCGAAGAACGGAATCACGATCATGGGTACTCCGTGGAAGATGGCTTCGGTGATGCTGCCGAATCCTCCGTGCGTGATGAAGGCCACAGTCTTGGGATGCGCTAAAATGGCTTTTTGCGGAAGCCATTTTGAGATTTTAACGTTCTTCGGGTTGTATGGAAGAGTTCCATCAAATTTCCAAAGAACGTCATATTTCGTTTTGGAGAATGCGTGTAAAATACTTTCTATAGTGGATGGCTTCAGTTCCTCGCATTTGACGTTTGTACCAAGGCTGAAGTAGATGACGCCATGCTTGGATCCGTTGAAGTATGTTTGAAGATCATCCGGTAGATGTTGCTTCTCGTGCAGATGAAATCCTCCGATTTGTATGAAATTAGTTAAGTATGGTCGGGGCGTTTCTGTCATGAAATGAGAGTTCACCAGTGTCAAATCAACGTTGTCTAGAAGCTCTTCGAAAGGTGGAGCATTGGGAAAATGTTTCTGAAGAATACTCTTCTGATAAGGCACCATCAGTAAATACGCAAACATATCACCAAGTAGAGCTACCAACGTGTTCAGCACTCTTTGCCAAAACGACATGGAATCTTTGAATGTAGTTGCTACGTGCGGAACATAGGCATACGGACTGGGGTTTCCATGGAAGTAGTTGAGAATAGCATTACCTCCAATAAGGCTGAACGCAATCGGCGTTGCGTTCACTGCATCCGCAATTCCCAGAAGCGCTTCGTTCATAAACAGCATCTGGACGGCAACATCGAATTTCGGTTTTGTAGCAAGAAAGTCCTGAAGATTCTTGTTTTCAATGACGGCATCGTTCAATATTCGTAGAATGTCGTAAGTGTATCCTATCTTGGAGAGGGTGCTGCTGTTGGGACTCATGAATACCTTCATGCGTTCGTTCCGCATTTCCAGCAGTCCGTCGAGGTAAACATCATTGTAATTCGGTGGTGGATTTTTCAACGGAAATGGAGAGATCATGGTGACTTCGTGTCCTCTCGAGGCTAATTCCCTAAGGAGCGCCGAACCAAGGATCGTGTGGCTGCGGCTTGGAAATGGAAAGACACCCAAGATTCTGGCCCCATTTGCGGCTGTGGCCGCAAATATCAGAAGGATCGAGCGCAGAAGCATTTTCACGACTGTGTATTGAAACATGGGAAGTGCAACTTATGACCTAGCCCCGATAAAGTGATATCAATTTATGTATTTATAATAATATTGATGAATTATCTCCAATGTATGGATTAAACTTGAATTATGAAAAATTGAATTGAATTGAATTGGATTCTTATTTATTTATAAATCTTATCTTTTTTACTTTTAATTTTATTATATCATTCGTATATGTGTTGGAACTAAAACATTTAGGTATATATAAAAAAATGAGCATAAAAAGAAATTATATAAATATAATATCGGTGAAACAAAAAATAGTCAAACTATTACTGTATATTTTTGAAAAATGATACTTTTAGGAAATATCAATTGTAGACAATTGTGTAAACTTTCGAATAAGGAAGATTTGGATTAAAATAGAAGAGATATTTAATATATTACAAATTTTACTATTAATTAATACATATAATAAATTTAAAAAAGAACGATAATAAATTATTGATTTTGTATATTTTTGTAATGATTTATTAGGATTTCATTGAAAATTATAAAATATTTAATAGTTACAATATAAGATAAAAGCTTTAGTATTAAATGTGAGGAACGAATGATGATTTGATGGATTTGATTTAATTATTGTATTTTAACTTTTCGTTTGATGAGAGAAGAAATCAATTTAATTACTAAGTAAATGAATAGGAAAAATACTGATAAAATTGTGAGGATGAAAGCGAAGACGTCGAGCAGCATGTATTGGTACCAGGGCATCTTTTTGATCTTCATGTGTTTCGCCCCTTTGTGCTTGACAATGTGTTCTACCCAGAATACAGCCTTTTCCATGGGATTCATCGGTTGATTCTTGAAAATATCTGAAGCCGATCTGATGCGGTCACGGTACACGGAATTACCACTGATTTCCTCCATAGTCGTGCTCAAAGTTTCCTCGGAGATATCTTTTAGTTGAAGTTGTATTGCAAATCCGCGTTGCGCGGTTTCGGCGACGTTTTTCTGTTGGTCACCGAAGAACGGAATCGCGATCATGGGCACTCCGTGGAAGATGGCTTCGGTGATGCTGCCGAAACCTCCGTGTGTGATGAAGGCTACAGTCTTGGGATGAGCTAAAATACCTTTTTGTGGAAGCCACTTGGCAGTTTTAACGTTCTTCGGGTTATAGAGAAGCTTTCCATCGAATTTCCAAAGAACGTCGTATTTGCTTTTAGAGAAAGCACGGAGAATACCTTCCATCGTAGAGGGGTTTAATTCCTCGCTCTTGATGTTTGTACCTAGGCTGAAGTAGAAGACACCGTGTTTGGATTCGTTGAAGTATGTTTGAAGATCTTCTGGTAAATGTTGCTTCTCGTGCAGATGGAAACCGCCGATTTGTATGGAATTAGGTAGGTATGGTCGTGGCATTTCTGTTATGAAATGAGAATTCACTAGAGCCAAATCAACGTTGTCTAGAAGCTCTTCCAAAGGTGGAGCAACGGGAAAATGCTTCTGAAGAATACTCTTCTGATAAGGCATCAACAGGATATACGAAATCACATCACCAAGGAGAGCTACCAGCGTATTCACCACCCTTTGCCAAAACAACATGGAATCTTTGAAAGTAGTTGTGAAGTGGGGAACATAGGCATACGGACTGGGGTTTCCGAAGACGTAGTTGAGCATAGCACTACCTCCAATAACACTGAACGCAATCGACGTTGCGTTCACTGCATTCGAAATTCCTAGAAGCGCTTCGTTCAGAGCCCACATCTGGATGGCAACATCGAATTTCGGTTTTGTAGCCAGAAAGTCCTGAAGATTCTTGTTCTCAAGGACGTCATCGTTCAATATTCGTAGAAGTTCGTAAGTGTATCCGATCTTCGAGAAGGAGCTGCAGTTGGGACTCATGAATTCCTTCAAGCGTTCGTTCCGCATTTCTACCAGTCCGTCGAGGTGAACATCATTGTAATTCGGTGGTGGATTTTTCAACGGAAATGGAGAGATCATGGTGACTTCGTGTCCCCTCGAGGCTAATTCCCTGAGGAGCGCCGAACCAAGGATTGCATGGCTATGGCTTGGAAATGCGAAGACACCCAAAATTCTGGCCCCACTTGCGGCGGTGGCCGCAAATATCAGAAGGATCGAGTGCAGCAGCATTTTCACGACTGTCCGTTGAAACAAGGAACGTGCAACTCATGACCTCGCGCTGATAAAGCTAAAGCAATTTGTTCGCTACCAGTGGCGGATTAAGGATAGTTGGGGTCCCTAAGCATATTATATTTAAAGGCCCCCAAAAAATTAAAAAAAAAAACATCTATTTTAAATACTATAGGAAAATATCTTAGTTCGGGGCTTCTAAAGCCCGAGGCCCCTAGACACGTGTTTCATTGCCTTAATGGATAATCCGCCACTGCTCTCAACTATCCACTTTTATATGTAATTTGTAATTTAACAGGCGGACAAATGAATGAATTTATATATTTGTAATAATATTGATTGATTAGTTTATCTCCAGAATATGCATCTTCCTTGAATAATGAAAAATTAAATTGCAGGTTTATTGTTTCTTTATAAATCTGATCTGTTTTATTTTTTTTATTAATTCTATTTTAATTTTATTAAAACATTCGTACATGTGTTTGTACTTAAAAATGTAGGCATATTTAAAAAAATGAGCATCAAAAGAAAATGCTGTATAACTTAAAAAAAAAAGATTCGCTCTAGAATGAGAAAGATTGAGATTAAAATTGAAGAAATAATTAATATATTACAAATTTTAATATAAACTAATACATACAATAAATTAAAAAAAAACGATGATTAATTATTGATTTTTTGAATATTTTTATAATGATTTATTAGGATTTAATTGAAAATTATAAAACATTCAATAGTTACAATATAAGCTATAGACTTTAGTATGACATGTAATGAAAATGATTATGAATGATGATTTGATTTAATTATTGTACTTTAAGTTTTCGTTTGATGAGAGAAGAAATCAATTTAATTACTAAGTAAATGAATAGGAAAAATACTGATAAAATTGTGAGGATGAAAGCGAAGACATCGAGCAGCATGTATTGGTACCAGGGCATCTTTCTGATCTTCATGTGTTTTGCCCCTTTGTGCTTGACAAAGTGTTCTACCCAGAATACAGCCTTTTCCATGGGATTCATCGGTTGATTCTTAAAAATATCTGAAGCAGATCTGATGCGGTCACGGTACACGGAATTACCAGTGATTTCCTCCATAGACGTGCTCAAAGATTCCTCGGAGATATCTTCTAGTTCAAGTTGTATTGCAAATCCGCGTTGCGCGGTTTCGGCGACATTTTTCTGTTGGTCACCGAAGAACGGAATCGCGATCATGGGCACTCCGTGGAAGATGGCTTCGGTGATGCTGCCGAAACCTCCGTGTGTGATGAAGGCTACAGTCTTGGGATGAGATAAAATGGCTTTTTGTGGAAGCCATTTCGCGATTTTAACGTTCTTCGGGTTATAGGGAAGCTTTCCATCGAATTTCCAAAGAATGTTGTATTTACTTTTGGAGAAAGCGCGGAGAATACCTTCCATCGTAGAGGGCTTTAATTCCTCGCTCTTGACGTTTGTACCTAGGCTGAAGTAGATGACACCGTGCTTGGATTCATTGAAGTATGTTTGAAGATCTTCGGGTAGATGTTGCTTCTCGTGCAGATGAAATCCGCCGATTTGTATAGAATTAGTTAGGTATGGTCGTGGCGTTTCTGTTATGAAATGAGAGTTCACTAGAGCCAAATCAACGTTGTCTAGAAGCTCTTCCAAAGGTGGAGCACCGGGAAAATGCTTCTGAAGAATACTCTTCTGATAAGGCATCAACAGGATATACGAAACCATATCACCAAGGAGAGCTACCAGCGTATTCACCACTCTTTGCCAAAACGACATGGAATCTTTGAAAGTAGTTGTGATGTGCGGAACATAGGCATACGGACTGGGGTTTCCGAAGACGTAGTTGAGGACAGAACTACCCCCAATAACGCTAAACGCAATCGGCGTTGCGTTCACTGCATCCGCAATTCCCAGAAGCGCTTCATTCAGAGCCCACATCTGGATGGCAACATCGAATTTCGGTTTGTAGCCAGAAAGTCCTGAAGATTCTTGTTCTCAAGGACGGCATCGTTCATTATTTGCAGAAGTTCGTAAGTGTATCCGATCTTAGAGAAGGCGCTGCAGTTGGGATTCATGTATTCCTTCATTCGTTCGTTCCGCATTTCCAGCAGTCCCTCGAGGTGGACATCATTGTAATTCGGTGGTGGATCTTTCAACGGAAATGGGGAGATCATGGTGACCTCGTGTCCCCTCGAAGCTAATTCCCTGAGGAGCGCCGAACCAAGGATCGTGTGACTGTGGCTTGGAAATGGGAAAACACCCAAAATTCTGGCCCCATTTGCGGCGGTGGCCACAAATATCAGAAGGATCTAGTGCAGCAGCATTTTCACAACTGTCCATTGTAACGTGAAACGTGCATCTTATGATTTCCCGTTGATAAAGCGATATCAATGTTCACTCAATCGTAACCTATTTTATACATAATCTGTGATTTAACAGATGGACAAATCAATAGTTTTTTTTGATTGATTAGTTTATCTCCAAAATATCGATCATGAATTGAAAGATTTCATTGGAGGATTCTTTCTTTGTAAATTTTATCTATTGTACATTTAATTTTATAAAATCATTTAGTACATGTGTTGGTACTTTACATTTTAGGAATATTTAAAAAATAAGAAACAATGGAAATTATTATGCAGACAAGTACGATAAGTTATAACAAAAATGAGCGATAAAACAGCAAAAAAATAAACAAATCAACTACAAAATGCAAATGAAAGAGTGGAAAATAGAAATAAGTCAGCCATGACATTGAAACAAAAGAGCTACAAATTGAAACAAATCAGCAACAAAACAGAAATTACTATGTAAATACATAAACAAATTATCAACGACAGAGACAAAACAGGTATATGTTGGAATATTAAAATATGGACAAAACATAAGAAATAAAAAATAAATTGCAATCAAAGAATAATGTGAAATAAAAAGTATAAAAATTTTACTTAATTTAATTAGTTTGAAAACTTTGAAAATTATTTAAATTAAAAGAAAGTTTCAGATTAAAATAGAAAATTTATTAAAACAAAATTAGAAATAAATCACAAAACAACAACATTTTGATTGTTTTTTAAATAAGATAGTTGTAAAGTTGTATTTACAATCAAATATAGTTAATTTCTTTAGTATGAGTCATGATGCTAATCATAAATAAATATTAAAAAAAGATTGTATAGGTGAATTTTGATTTGTTTCGTAAATTGTATAGTTGAGATGTAAAAAGTTTTGAGGTGCAATCTGCGAAGATAGTTAATTTGTTTAGCATGAGACATCGGAGTTGCCTTGCGTGCAGTTTGATTGGCACAGTTTGATGGGTCGCAAATGGGTTTCTGGCTGTTCGGTCAAAAAATTGTAGGAGCGTGCAACCAAAGAAGCCCTCCTCCTCCCCAAGACTAAATACAGCCCTTCGGTTGGCAACTCTATTAAAGGAATAAAAAACTGTATTGTAATATGCATGCAGCTGGATAGACGAACGGGCCTTCGTGGCTCATATACGAACAACTAACTGTACGTACACAACTCAGTGCTTTGACTGTGAGTGGCAGTCGGCCTCGCGTGTTGTCAGCTCAGCCTGACTGACATTTGGAATGGGTAGGAAAAGCAGCACAGACTGCACAGCCAACTGCAAATGCTAAACTCATCACCGCCCTAAAAAAAATCACCACAACCCCCAGCAAACATAATAAAAAAACAGCAACAGTCGAAAGAGATGAAGATGTAAAATAATTGCAAAGAAACTGCGTTGCGTTGTCTTTCGTGAAAAAAAAAACAGAAGAGAATAAAAAAAAAAGATGACGAACGCTAATTGGTTCTTTGACATGGCTGTAAGTATTTCCAGGCGGAATCAAATTAAGGGCATGTTATGTGTTTGCTGCAAGGATGACAACGTCTTCGGAGGGGCGGAAATTGTCAACCTTCTCCTCCCCGCGAACTCTTCCTCATCAAAGATAAAGGTTCACTTGTTTCTTCTTCATATACATTGTCTTATTATTGTCAAACGTAAGCCTCCGGAGCGCTAGCGGCGAACTTCCATTCCCAGAAACGAGAATGAAATCTTATTAGGACAGAAACCAGGCGCATTCACTATGTTGCATTAAACAGCCAATTAAATAAACTAGACTCGGCAATTTCGATCCAACCAAACCCGTACCCCTCTCTTCCATCCAAGTAATACAACGTTCGCACATGCCACTCATTTTATCGTTTCCTTCCGGATATTACATCATCCTTCTTAAATATGGAATCCCATCGCAATTCGGCAAAGTGCAAAATTTGTTATTCGCGGATCGAGTTTTTCGGTTTCCGAACAAATTGGATTTCTTTGTTTCCACGCCGTACAACGCATTTGGTGAGTGCGGTGGTGGGGTGTGGGTGGACGCGCGTAATAGGAAAATCTATTATTCAAGCGAAAGGAGAACAAACGAATGGGGAAACAAAAAAATAAATAAAACCGGTATACTTTTCGGGGATGACGGAAAGGCGGTTCGGACAAGGCTGAAAAATGCCGGAAAGTTTAATTGAAAACACGCAGACGTTGAGGATAAAAGAAAATTGTGAAGAAGGGGGTGAAAATCGAGTGTTGTTTTTGCGTGTGTGCAAAGTGTTCGAATCATCCGTGATACAAATGTCTCTCTTTCTACGTTGTTTTCCTCGCCCTGTCTCATCCATTTCCCGAAACTACAGACGTTGTATTTATGTCTTTTCCTATTGGCGAACAAAGGAGATGCATTCGACCACAACAGCATACATTTCTGGGGGCGGAAGAAGTGTCGCTGTCGCTTTTCCAGCGTGCCAAAAACTTTTTTTTAGTTTCGAAAATGCGAGAAAACATATAATAAATATTTCAGCTTTCGTCGGACACTTCGATAAGTTGGTGTGAATATGAGATTGGGGTGGAAATCACTATAAATTAGATTCATCAGAGAGAGTCCAATTTCATAGACCATCAGATTCTTAGGGAAATCTTCCTCCCTTCTCACAGTCGTATATTAGTTGGTTCAAGTGTAATTTATGATCTTTAATAACTCGAAAGAAAAGTATTTATTATATATGAGGAAACGCCAGTATTTTAGATAATTCATTAAATGAGACTGTTGCATTTTCACAACCAATTTTATACATTATGAACTTAAAGTTATATAAACTTTTATTCCCTGGCGCATGCACCAATAATTAAAGGTCAAGGATTTTTTATTTTTACTTTAAACAGTTATTTTTGTTTAAATAAACTAATAATTAATAAATTTCACTAATATCGAATGGGAAAACAGATGAATTTTTAAAATGTTTACAGTATTGAGCAGTAGTTATGTTTGTGGTGATGTCGGTTAGACTAGATTTATGGAAAGACGTGTTTCTTCATAGCCGGCTGAACTCTCCTGAAAATGTCAAACGAAATGTTAACGACGCTCGACGTAAATGGCACTAGAAGTTATAACCTAGATTTCGTAAAGCGGATGTGATGAAAAGAGAACAAAAAAAAAGAGTAAGAAATAGAGAGAAAGAGGGTGAGAGAGAGTAGAACGGATGATAGGATGGAAGAAAAGGTGGAAGGGCGAGTAAATTTTGCATTTTGCAAAAGGCAATAAAGTAGAGTAAACTAAGATGTAGAGAGAGAGAGAGAAAGAGAGTTTGCAAAGACGTACGCTCTAAGGCGTCCCTTCTTCTTTGAAAGGCAAAAATTGGAGAATAATCCCGGGAAAAAGCGAGAATAATGACTCCATTGCAGAAAAATAAACATCCTCCACCTCCGCGTCCTTTCTCTCCCCATTCATTCGGCCTCCTTCCATACAAACACACGCGCTCCAACGAATAGATGGAACATAGAAACCAATCTTATCACGAATCCTATCAATTCCAGCTTTTCTATCCGCCCGCATCGCGTGCTCTCCCCTATTTTTTTTTCTTTTCTTCCCTTTAATAAAAGTGCATCCAGAACTAACAAGACCGAACGGCCGCACGAATACAACCGTAAAAAGGATTCACTTTAATTCTTCGCCTTATAAATTTTGTACTGAAACCAATGTTCTGCTCAATTTTACATTTCGCACCTGATGAAATGTCAGACATTTAAAAAAGACATTTACTATTTTGTTTATATGAAAGTAAAGCAACATCTTGTGCCAGTAGTTGTTGGATGGATCACTTTACAAATCAATAGATTGGAGAAGATTTACCACAGTAACATTAGGGAAACTCTTAATAAAATACAATTATTATTTAAGTTTTACTGTTTATAAAAGTTAACTAGTTACTTGTTTTATGGATGATTTTACAAATCAATAGATTGGAGTCGAATTCTACAGTGTTAAGTGAAAACTTAATATTATTTAAAGTTACATAGCTTACAAAAGTTAAGCATCATCTTACGTAGTTACTTGTTTTATGGATGATTTTATAAATCAATAGATTGAAGACTATTTTTCACACTAACAATAGTTAAGCAACATCAATTATTAGGAAAAACATTTTGTATGCTCGAATTTTAGTTTAAGTTTCACAGCTTACAAAAGTTAATCAATATCTTATGTAGTTACTTGTTTTATGGATGATTTTACTAATCAATAGTTTGGAATCTAATTCTACAGTATTAAGTGAAAACTTAATATTATTTAAAGTTTCATAGCTTCCCAATGTTAAGCATCATACGTTGTTAGTTGTTTCATGGATTATTTTACAAATCAATAGATTGAAGACTATTTTTCACACTAACAATAGTTAAGCAACATCAATTATTAGGGACAATATTTTGTGTACTCGCATTTTAGTTTAAGTTTCACAGCTTACAAAAGTTAAGCAACATCTTATGTAGTTACTTGTTTTATGGATGATTTTACTAATGAATAGTTTGGAATTGAATTCTACAGTATTATGTGAAAACTTAATATTATTTAAAGTTTTCATAGCTTCCAAAAGTTAAGCATCATACGTAGTTAGTTGGAGCATGGATGATTTTACAAATCAATAGTTTGGAGCCTGTTTTCCACAGTAACAATTCAATACTCAAGTAACATCAAGTAACATCATAATAGGTAAAATTCTTAATAAACTCGTATTTGAGTTTAAGTTTCACAGCTTACAAAAGTTAAGCATTATCTTACATAGTTACTTGTTTTATGGATGATTTTACAAATAAATAGATTGGAGTCGAATTCTACAGTATTGAGTGAACACTTAATGTTATCTATTGGCTTTCAAAAGTTAAGCATCATACGTACTAAGTTGTCGTATGGATGATTTTATGAATCAATAGATTGGAGACTATTTTCCACAATAACAATTCAATACTTAACATCAATTATTAGGG